ATATAGAGAGAGAGAGAGAGAGAGAGAGAAAGAGAGAGAGAGAGAGAGATTTTAATAAAAAAATTCTTGTGTTGTGAAGAAAAAATCTAATTATGTATGGAAAGCATCGAAAATGCATCGAGATATCGAGTTGATTTGAATGATAGTGTAGGGGTAGACTACAGTTTGACCCAAAGAATGACCAGTCTGGTAGATGAAAAAGAGCCGGAGTCAGAGATTTAAATAAATAAATCAAGTTTACTGAAGATAGTTTGCAGTTTCATCCACAGAAGCCAGCTTCAACACTCGCAATGAGTTCCTAGGCCGCTCTGCTTACAATCACCAATCAATAACAATTATACTCTCAAATAACGTCATTAACTGCGTCATACATAAAGGTGTTCTAACCTGATTGGTTAAAACACAGATAGACTAGGAAAATTTCCACGTGGGGTTCGTGCGTACAATTCTGAACAATATCTAAACATAAACATCAGACATCCTTTAGACTGATTAGAGCTGACTCCAGACCTGTGAAATGGATCAACAATCAAATAGAACACACACACTTAAAGGGTCACGAAACACCAAAACACATTTTTTGAGCTGTTGACAGTCGTATATGTGTCCCACACTGCTAAAAACACTATTAGGACACCTATATTTTACTAAAAAGTGTAAATTGGTTGTTTTTGCGTTATTTCAAGCAAATTCGTACTTCCTGTTTGAAACTAATTTTTGAAGCTGCGTCACGGTCATGACATAATAGCATTGTATTCCACCGTGCAGACTGGGCGTCTGTGCCAGAGTGAGTCTTATTACGTCTTACAGTGTGTTGCATTAATGCATGAGTAAGGTTTGGTTCAAACCAATCAGCGCGCTCTATTGTGCAACTTCATTAATATTCATTAGTGTCACCGTGTTTACACGACAGAGACGCCACGTTGTGTTGGCAAAACAAGCGTGAAGTGTTGCTTTTATAGTTTGCTGCCATTAAGTTTTGTTTTCATTTTCTCTCTGTGAGAGCTCAGAGTCACGTGTGGATTAACAGTGTACGTGACGCTCGACAACAATAACTTACGTGTCTAAGGAGGAACATTGTTTACCTGAGAGCTGTTCTCATCTGCAAACGCTGAGATCCGGATTCGCTTGTAACGTTAGTCTCCTCTTCATAAAGATGCGGCTCTTGTTGCTGGTTATTGTCCTGTCTCTACAGATTTGGTAAGTGAGCGACCACTGCTCTTTGTTTATTCAGTTTGTTCGTATCGAACTAAGTTAATATTGCACCGAGTGCAAACATAGCATCGCATTTTGTGACCGGAATAACACACGCGGCTTTCTGACGCTACCTGCCGTGTGCATCTAAGATTCCGGGAAATGCAGAAGTTTTTTTCTCTCATTCGCCGTGCGGTATCAAACATTGCATGAAAAATACACGCTTAGAGCAGCTCCTTGAATCAAATATCGCGTTTGTCGCGAAGGGCATGAATGAATTCCCTGAATGAAAGAGCCAAACTGCAGTTAAAGTCCAACATTTAATAATTTGCCAAATAATTCGACTACAGATGTCCATGTAGGTTAAACACCATCACTTTCTCATGTGTGTGTATTTTGACTGAAACTCGCGTGTGCCCAAATAGACACTCCCACACCATCCCACTTTAGTTCCTCTGACACTCCCCCCTAAACAGAGCTGGACACGCCCACTTTTCTGACTTTTTCCAAAGTAGAGGTGTGAAAACACCCTGCTGAAACGAGGGGGTTTCATGGCCCTTTAAAGTATAATCTGTTTCTTATCCAAGGCTGAGTGTACTCTCAGCCGTCTTTATCAAAACTGGTTAAAAACCGGTATCATCTACATTCAGGCAGTTATAATTCCTTACTACACAAAGTCTATCTAGAATAAAAAGTAGAATCACTTTAAAAGAATTAACAGTAAAAATAGCAAAATCACTTTAGACATTTTAGACAATATTAACTCGTAGAAATAACAATAGAAACAGTTGCTTCCAGTCCTCAGCCCTCAGTTCCACTCAAGGTCTCCGTGACCTCTAGATTGGTTGCTTCTGAAAATAGTTATAAAGAGACTGGCAAATGCACTGAACATTCTTATACTAAGCAATGTTTTAACTTATTCATTATTTAAAATCAATTCACAGTTAAATACTGAGAAACAGGATGATGAAAAGGATAAACGTTGGTCCATGATGAGACGGATTGGAGAGCAGAAATCCGAATCTTTCAATGGCATGATAATCGTCCCCGAACCAAACCGTGAGACCAGTGTAGATTTACACTCGTTTCAATTATAGACCTTTTTCTTGGCTGCTGCATGGAGGCCGCCACAGTAACCAGCGTCTACCGGTAGAATGTTTAGAACTTCCGTTTACAGCGTTTACAACAGGTAATTTGTGATCTGAAAGTGGGTTTCAATATAGTTTTGAGTGGATTACGGAGTGTTTTTGTGACACACAACTTTGAAAGGTGTGTGTTAAAGCTGTTATAATCTGTCAGATCTGTGTTTCAAGCGCGAGAGAAAAACGTTATCGTAAGCCATGTTACTTTTCATTCTGCTTAATCGCGTGCCCAAAAAAAAGATATTTAAAATAAACAAAACAATACGAGTCTTTTGACTGCTTTCTTTAATAACTACATAACACAATACTTGCACTTTAACTTTCAGTACTTGAATACTAACGTTTGAAATAAACTACTTGCAACACTCAAGTACAAAAAATGTTGAATACTTGAGTACTTCCACTTAAGTACAGTGCTTAAAGAGAATTTCAACTTCTACTCAAGTCACTTTTTGATAGAGCACTTGTACTTTTACTTAAGTCTGGATTTCTAGTACTTTACACATCTCTGGTGAAATATGAATTGTTTGTTTGTTTTTCTTGTGAATGTGTCACGTCTTGGCTGTTTCCCCATTTATAAATCGGTTTTGACTGTTGGCTTTTCTGCTTGCAGCAGAGAGAAGGGAAAAACGCTGCTATCGTTTAGCACCGCCAGGTAAGTTCACCTTAGTGTGATAGTTTTATCGAATATGAGGATTGTTTTCAGGATGTGAAAATATGTGTGAAATATGAATCGTCTTCCTACCAGTTCCTCTATTTAACACTTGGTTTGTTTTTCTTGTGAATGTATCATGTCTTGTCTGTTTCCCCATTTATAAATCGGTTTTGACTGTTGGCTTTTCTGCTTGCAACAGAGAGAAGGGAAAAACTCTGCTATCGTTCAGCACCGCCAGGTAAGTTCACCTTAGTGTGATAGTTTTGTTTAATATAATGATTGTTTTCATGGTGTGAAAGGGCTCCTGCAGAAGGGGTGGATGTAAGTTGATCTGATGTTCGTTCGCAGATGATAGAATGAGAGAACACTGCAATTTTGCATCGCGGCGAGGTAAGTTCACCTTAGTGTGATAGTTTTATCGAATATGAGGATTGTTTTCAGGATGTGAAAATATGTGTGAAATATGAATCGTCTTCCTACCAGTTCCTCTATTTAACACTTGGTTTGTTTTTCTTGTGAATGTGTCATGTCTTGGCTGTTTCCCCATTTATAAATCGGTTTTGACTGTTGGCTTTTCTGCTTGCAACAGAGAGAAGGGAAAAACTCTGCTATCGTTCAGCACCGCCAGGTAAGTTCACCTTAGTGTGATAGTTTTGTTTAATATAATGATTGTTTTCATGGTGTGAAAGGGCTCCTGCAGAAGGGGTGGATGTAAGTTGATCTGATGTTCGTTCTGTTCATTTGTAAGAGTGTGAAATATATATTGTCTGTATAGGCCTATTCAGTTGCAAATGTTTCCTGGTTGTAATTGTTTCTGCTAACGCTCTGTAAGTTATGTAAGCGGAGCATTTTAACTTCATCAGTGTTTAATATGGGTATATGCACACTGTAAAAAATAATTCCTTAAAATTTACTGTAAAAAAACCGGCAGCTGTGGTTGCCAGTACTTTACCGTTAAAAACACGGTACAAACCGTAAAAGTAATTTTTAATTTTTACATTAAATTACTGTATTTTATTAATTTGTAGAGGTAAAATGTCTTTATTTTGAATGATCAACATTTACACATCTTTTGTTACAGAGTTAGACACGTTAGCACACCCACATGCAGGTGGTGATGAGGAAGTTACATAATGAGCTAATGCTTATCACAATCAACTTTTCGCACAAGCAATTAAGGGTATCAGCATATAGAAGATGCTCAGTGTCATTCACACAGCTACTAAACACCAGTATGGTAACACACATACAATTAAATTCATGAAATAAACATTGTTTATCAACATTAGATGTAACATAAATCTATCATGTACATAACTGATGGGGAAACAACGAAAAAGATCCATATTAATGTCAACAAAATACATTAAAAGTTATGTGCCATGCAGGGAATTCTGGGAAAGTCAGTTTACAGTTATTCGGCGTATATATTAAGAAAACATACCGTTAACCAGGTTACAGATTTGTACTGTAGCATTTTTACAGTTTTTTACCATTGAAATCATGGCCATTTTTCACAGTGTATAATATGAATGTCTTTGCGAGTCAGCTGTGAGTCTCATCGTTCCAGTAAACACACACCAACATAGTGGTAATTTTCTTTAACGAGGCTCTCTAAGTGGTCAAGAAGACAATTTCTTACCCAAAGTGTCTTTTAAGGTTTATTCTTTGCAAAGAAGGTCGCAATCATACAGCAACGACAGTTTCTGCAGAGTGAGACACTGAAAACAGACTTTAAAGGGCCATGAAACCCTCTCGTTTCAGCAGGGTGTTTTCACACCTCTACTTTGGAAAAAGTCAGAAAAGTGGGCGTGTCCAGCTCTGTTTAGGGGGGAGTGTCGGAGGAAGAAAAGAGGCTTGGTGTGAGAGTGTCTATTTGGGTGCGCTGACTTTCCGAGTCAAAACACACACCCACACAGGGGACAATGTGACTGTGTTTACATGGACATCTGTAGTCGAATTATTTGCCAAATTATTAAATGTTGGACTTTAACTGCAGTTTGGCTCTTTCATTCAGGGAATTCATTCATGCCCCTCCCGACAAACGTGATATTTGATTCGAGGAGCTGCTCTAAGCGTGTATTTTTCATGCAATGTTTGATACCGCACGGCGAATGAGAGAAAAAAAAACTCAGCATTTCCCGGAAACTTAGATGCACACGGCAGGTACCGTCAGAAAGCCGCGTGTGTTATTCCGGTCACAAAATCCAACACGAGGTTATAGTTTGGTTGTAACTGTTAGTGCTAACTTGTTTACACTCGTTGCAATAGTTTGTTTGATACGAATAAAATACGAACTGAATAAACAAAGAGCACTGGTCGCTCACTACCAAATCTGTAGAGACAGGACAAAAGCGAATCTGGATCTCAGCGTTTGCAGATGAGAACAGCTCTCAGGTAAACAATAATCCTCCTTGGACACATAAGTTATTGTTGTCGAGCGTCGCGTACACTGTTAATCCACACGTGAGTCTGAGCTCTCACAGAGAGAAAATGAAAACGAAACTTAACTGCAGCAAACTATAAAAGCAACACTTCACGCTTGTTTTGCCAACACAACGTGGCGTCTTAGTCGTCTAAACACTGTGACAGTAATGAATATTAATGAAGTTGCACAATAGAGCGCGCTGATTGGTTTGAACCAAGCCTTACTCATGCATTACGCATACGAATTTGCTTGAAATAACGCAAAAACAACCAATTTACACTTTTTAGTGAAATATAGGTGTCCTAATAGTGTTTTTAGCAGTGTGGGACACATATACGACTGTCAACAGCTAAAAAAAATGTGTTTTGGTGTTTCGTGACCCTTTAAGACTTTTTTAGACTTTTACTGTCTTTATTGTCCACAAGTGGAAATTTATCTTTGGCTTCACCACACAACCACATCAGCGTTCACATTACACACGTCACAGAAAAAAAATTCAACACGCATACATTCAACGTCGTCACATATATTAATATAATTAAACTCAATTTAAAACCCTATACATAATTAGAACTCAGTATTTTAAAAAAAAGTGTGCTCTCTCTTATATCTGGTTTCTCTCTTGTACTGCTTATGAGGTCACTTCTAATCATGCTATACCATGTAATGTAATGTAACGTAAACCATGTTTACGTTAACTGTCTCTCCGCTCTGACCCATGCCCCTTACAAACCATACCATGTTTGCAACAGGTGTTTCAACCGTTCTGTCCCATGCCCCTTTCACACCATATAGCAAACAGCCTTTCATGATAAAAGCATAGGATGGAGGACAAAGAACAGAGTAGTCACACAGAGTAAAGTTAAGCAAAATAGAAAATGCATATACAACTGAAAATTGAATATAAATGAATTTCAATTACAGTTATTAAAACTATCATGATTGGAAATGTGTTGAAAAAGTGTTCTCTCCGTAAAAAATAAACAGGGGCTAATAATTCAGGGGGGCTAATAATTCTGACTTCAACTGTATATAAATATATATATTTATATATATTTTTGTTGAGGGTGTGACCAATCAAAGAGGTGTAAGAGAACTAGACAAGGATCAGAAAGCGAGCTGGATATTTATATTTGTTTATATTATTTGCTAAATGCTCGTTTTGTTTAAAGGTACAGTTTTTATTTCTGACTGTATTAAATGACAAAATTGTATTGCAAATAATAAATAAATATAAATATATTCATACATTTTAAGAACTGCTGCTGTGAAGAAAATATAAAACTGGGTATGGAAAGCACCGTCAATGCACCGTGATGCACCGAGATATCGAATTGAAACGAATCGATGGCATGATAATCGGAACCGAAGCTAACCATGAGACTAGTGTAGGTTCACAGCTCTAATATATATATATATATATATTAGAGCTGTGAACCTACACTAGCCTACACTAAAAATGGATGCATTCAAAGCCTCTCAATGAAAGACTGTAAATGATTTAAATGCACTCGAAAGGTCCTTTCTCCTGAGCTGAGTCTGTGTGTCAATATTGAGACTTCATGTATTCAGATTCACATCTCTTTCTTTTAAGTGTAATATGGTAGAAGTACACTACTACAGTATGTGATTATATACATATTCAGTAATTTACTAAAATGTTTTTTCTACATGATGAAATATGCTGAAATGCAGTCTAGTTAATTCAAAGTAGTGTTTGTTGCTTCTTTTTTCTGTTTTTGCTTGTTTTCCAAATCTGAATCTGCCCTAATCTGGTTTCTCTTGCAGCAGATTGGTTGAGTTTTGATTGTGTTGATGATGAAGTGGAAACACAGGGATCAGAAGGTCAGTCGACTACACGGTTATAGAAACTATGACAGCTTCACTGTTGGGACTTTAAATGCTTCAGCACACAGGTGTTGAGTTGACTTCATCAGTCAGGGTGTCAATATTGAGACTTCATGTATTCAGAATCACATAGGATCTCTCTCTTTTGAGTACAATAGGGTAAAAGTACACTACAGTATGTGGTTATATACACATTTAGTTGATTCCTATCTGAAAATTTTTTTTCTACATGATGAAATATGCTGAAATGCAGTCTAGTTAATTCAAAGTAGAGTTTGTTGGTTCTTTTGTCTGTTTTTTCTTATTTTCCAAATCTAAATCTGTCCTGATCTGGTTTCTCTTGCTGTAGATTGTGTTGCTGAAAAGTCTGTCTGTAACCGTCTCCCACTGAGAAAAGGTAAATTCTTTAAATGGACAAAGTCGTCCTTTTAAATGACAGGGTAAAATATTCACAGATTCGGCAGGATGTCTTCTTTTCCTTTTATGCCACTCAACCTGTTTTATCAGATAAATTCATCATATCACAAATGAATTATCAAGGATTTAATATTACTCTAGCTTGCTGAAACGTTTCCCTTTGGTGAAAGGAATCTTTCCATGCTAATATTGACTCAATATGAACACAATATGACCTCAGCACATTGTAGATGTATGTCTACTTGGGGTAAAAATCAAATTCAGGTTCGTTAAAAGATGTTGAAAAAGCACAGATATTGATCATATGTCACACTGAACACACAGAATTTGTCAGGGATCTGGACCCAAAAATAAATCAATCAATCAATCAAAATAAAAAAAAATATATATAAAACTTCACCAATAAACTTCTAAATTAAAACAAAACAGAAAAGGAGTATAATTGCAAGCTAAGACAAGGATGCTGAAAGGAAGGAAGGAATAATTAGAGAAATTATTGGCGTACAGGAACAAATACAGAGCACAAAACAAACCAGCAAAAGCATGAGGGAAGAGAGCACAATATAAACGGAGGGAAACACACAAGGACCAGGTGGAGACACTTATACTAACATGGACTAGATGAGGGGTAAACAAGCGGGAGTGGTAAAGAAGAAAGGGATGGAGGAGCACATAGCAGACAAAAACAAACACTGAGGCCGTGTCCACACATACACAGGCATGTTTATAAATATTTGTAATTTTTAAATGAAATATCTGTCCACATTAAAACTCCAAAACGCACTGTGATGTATGTTAAGGGAACACCGAACCAACAGGAAGCGATAATCACACCAGATGGGAAGTTTAGTATTTTTGTGAGTGAATTGCATAGTCAATGCAAATATGAGAACAGAGATGGATTACTGTCCCGCGATGCAAGTGACTGAATATGAGACGCGTTTGCTGCAAACATGCAGAATTGACCTCATTCATGTTTTTCACGTTTGGTGTGAACTTAACAGTGTTGGCCAATCAGAAATGAGAAAACAGCGCACAGGCTGACGTCATGAGGCAAAAACTCTGACTGTAGTGTCCACACAATTATACTGTGCTCAGAGTTTCTGAAAATCTTCTCCCTGGCTGGAGTTTCCAGAAAGTCTCAGTCACTCGATTCTCTGTTTTCAGGTGGACAAACAGCAAAACCATGTAGACCAATTTTGGTTTTAAAAATACCCGTATACTTGTGGAAATATAAAAACAAAGACAACACAGACATGGTAGACAAGGCAGAGCCCTGACAGAATTTAAATCTAACGTCAGCGGGGCAAACGTTGACAGTGAATTCCAGTGAGTTTTCTTGTCTTCATGTTAGTTTGTGTTTGTGTGGATGTTCAGCTGCACCTGAGCTCCAGCAGGACCTGTTACTCCCGCTGGTTTCCCTCCAGAAGGCCTCGGGCTGCTGGGAACTGGACGCCGCATTGGCTGCTGTGTTGGGGAAGACAGAGGATGAGCTGACCAATCAGAAACCAGCACAGGTGAGACATGTGACAAAACAACAACAACCCAGTGCTGATGGTGTTCAGGGTCCAGCTTCAGATGATGGTTTGTGCACAGGTGGATGGGTCAGTGTGGGCCACTCTCCTGGCTCTGATCTGGTTGTACAGCTGGAGAAAAGAGCAGCAGGTGGAGTGGCAGTTTGTGGCCCAGAAGGCAGCGGCGTGGATCACCTCTGAGAAAGGTCAGATCTCCATTCTAGAGCACATTCATTCAGAGATGATGGAGAAAATCATGTTAAAATCGTGTGTGTGTGTGTTTCAGTGGGCGATCTGTCTCAGTGTGTGTGTGTGGGTAATGTCCTGCTCGGATGTCAGGTCACCAAAGACTCTCTGGGGATCTGAAGATATCAGAAGACCAAAGAACAGACGCCATTACATTTATAGTTAATCTCTTACTTGCTTCAGAAACATTTAATCTGTGATTTTTATTTGCTCAAATCAACACCAAATCCTAAATGAACCTGACCTCCACCATCATTAGATGAAAACTCTCCAACCTGTTTCTACACAACAGCTATGTATCTTCATTTCTCGGTTCATCTATTGAATATTAAAAGACAGTTTATTAGAATTAATGACTTATTTTACAAAAAGACAATCATTTTGAGGAATAAAAAAGAGCTTCGGCCTCAGATAAGCTCATGAAACTGATGCTACAATAACAAACCTAATAACAGACCCGTTCACACCAAGCATGATACTGACCGTTAAGCCCTCTTTTATACGATTATTTAAAGATAATGACTATCTAACAATTGCTTATACCATGGAAAATAATGATTAATACACAACTCCAGGCCAACAAATTGAAGTATAAGAATAAAAGTAGCTCAGTTATCCAGATTCAGCATCTTTGTGTTTCCTCATGTTGTTTTTATTCCACTAAACTGACGACTACAGGAAAAGCCGAGACCAGCACATTTGGCGTCGTCCTTTATTATTAGGAAAATTGCTAAGCATGCTCCTGAACATATGATTTAATTAGGTTATACACCTGTGTCTATGAATGACCTGTGCTCTGTTTCTACAAACCTGTTTCTGAACACTGTTTCTGAGCACGGTCCCAGTAGTGGATCTTTATCTATGCATGAGCAGTATATAAAGCTGAAATATACGAGCTGCGCACTTTCTGACTTCTACATACTGAATGTCTTGGGCTCTTTATTCTCAACTGAGTATAAAGTAAAGGATTTTGTTTCTGTTATTTGTATCTTTGTTTATTTTACTTTTTCACTGGATTTTATTCTATTAATTAAACGTGTATTTTAATAACTTTCCTCACTGGAGTGGACATTGAATTCATTTTCCAGAAACTCATCAAGATACCTTGTGTGGTAAAGAGGCCTAAATTTAGATATCACGCCACATCAACGCGAGGCAGTCAGGAAGCGTGTTCGCTAACGGTTTGCAGACGACAAGAAATGTACAACTACGTTTGTTAGAAAGTGTCTTATACAGGAATGCTATCCTGGCTCTATTAAACAAACAAAAAAATTTCCAACCTTTTAATAAGAATTTAGTTTAAAAAAATGAAATGCAATTATTTGCCATTTCCTCTTCCTCCATAATACAAAGATCTACATTTTAAAATGATGTATGTTTACCCTGCAAAGGAGTTTCTGAGAAAAAGATTGTGATGTTTGCCAATTCTGCAGTAGTGAAACTGTTGAACATCCATTTCTTCATTGTATTTTGGTTAATCCTTTCTGGTCTGATGTGGACAACTGGATAAAACAATATGTTTTAAGGTTTCCTTCCATTTGTTGGGACATTGTGAAATTTGGAGTACATTTGGACAGCAAAGAAGATGACTTAACTGTAGACTGTTTACTCATTTTACTTAAATTCCTCATCCATGAATGCAATATTTTAAATAACGGCTCCTCAATTGTTTGTTTAAAAAGGAGTTTTCCACCTGTTTAGAAGCTTTAATAATTAATAATGAAGGATGAGAAGAGCTAAACAATTGTAGGATTTGTTTCTAGAATATGGCTTTATTTAACCCCTTACTGAGTGTCTGTTTGATGTCTGCACAGTGTGTTGTTGTTTTATGTTAAATTATTTTCTTTTCTATTTTCATCTAATTTCATGGTATTTTTCTGTATTTTTCTGACCTTAAAAATGACAAGGACCAACATAACTGTAGGCCAACGCGCAGGGCTTAGTTTGTGCTGAATTTAGGAAATCTGTTGAGTCATCATGATGCTTTCTGTTGAAAATACCAAATAAGTTGTTTTCCTAAAAGATATGATTCAATTTTTAAGAATATATCATTGCAAATGGTTAACCTAGTGAAGGAACAAATAAAATATTCAACGATAAATCCCAAAATAATTGATCTGAAGATAGAAAATTAAAACTTAAGGATATAAAGATATCTTATATAATGAATAATTTTATGTCATTATTAAAATTCTATATTCATAAATGTCATTTTTTTAATTCCCCCAAGACTAGTGGTGTTTAAAGAAGATCTTGTGATGCATTTGAAGACATTAAGAGAGACGAAAAGACAAAAAGCAAGATATTTATATTGATCATTAGAGGATTTTGGTTTCATATTTTGAGAACTTCTACTCCCCTGCTACTTAAGTTTCTGTAGCATTTATTTTTTGTTCATTTTTGTTATTTATTCATAGATGTTGTATTATTAACGAGGATGGAAAGATTGTGAATGTATGCAATTTGATTGTTTTCTCAGTCTTTTCTGTAATTCTAAAAAGTATTAATGCCTTTCTGTTACTGTTCAAGCATTAAGAAAAAAAGAAAAAAGGAGGAAAAAAAAGCTTAATTTGTCCCGGAACACTCCGGATGCGGCACCTGATCTGAAATCTTATCAGGTGTTACACCATATTCTAACAGCTGCACCTCATTTTACCGATCCCCCTCCTCAACCGCCCTCCTCCCCCGTCCCCCGTCCGCTGTTCACTTTCTGTTTTCTACTACTTTGGCATTGCAAGAAAGCATTGCCAACACTTATGTCCATTTTCGCTTTCCGTACATCCAGTTGTGTTGTTCTTCGTAAGGGGAGAACTGGATATTCCAGAAGGAAACAGAATCGACTGCTACAACGGTTTTCTGGTGCAGAAGAGATTTGACGACTTCAGCTCATCTCCTGCCTGAATATTAGTTTCATCTGAAACTCTTTGGAACACTGGTTTACTCATTAAATAAGTCGCTCTGTAAAGATTTGAGTCAGATTAAAAGCAATATTTTGAGTTCAAATCATTTTAAGTAGGTCAAGCTCGTCAGTTCCTCAAACAGCGTGAGAATGAACTGCGGTCTTCTGAGTGGGTTGAATGAGCCAGGTAAGAATTCACAAACTTTCTTTACTGTTTTCGGCTTTTAAATAAAGTAATCTCTAACTCTTTGATACGTGTTTAGATTAGTACACACCGGGACTAGGGTTGCCACCCGTCCCGTTAAATACGGAATCGTCCCGTTTTGAAGCTATACGGGGCGGGTTTTGGTTTTGTCATCATTCCTGGAAAGCAGCTTATATGCAAATCATTCCACACGCATTTTATGTAGATGCCTCATTTCCTACTTTTGATTGGGTAATACTTGACGTCATCGTAAGTTTGATTGGTCTTTGTCCTGTGAGGAGGGCGGGTCTGTCAAGTCTTTACAGAGAGTAACGGTAGATGCTTCTTCAGGTAAACCCCCCAGGTAAATTGATATCAACCAAACTGCACGATTTGTCAGAGAGCGTTTTCTGTGGCTCTTGCGGGTATGGCAGACGTGCGTCCACGAGCCTCCGTAGAGCAGTACTCCCGCAATGACAGAGCTCACAAAAATCAAAGCACAGTCAGACAGTTCTTACTGCAGTAGTGGTTCAATCTTCAACTGGCTGGCAGGAGCTTTCAGTGGCGGGTCACGTGACCTGGCAAGTAATACCAAAGCGTTCGACATAATTTTTGTTGTTAATTCCATTGTATACTGTTTTATGTATAACTCTGTACACCCTTGTTTGATCATAAAAAAAAAAAAAAAACTGTCGGGAAGCATGACCTGCCATAGATATATACATTAGATGCCGCCTACCCTGCTGTTGTCTATTGGAAGTAATGCGTTAATAGAGCCGCCATTTTGGAACAGGGTAGCGCTCCTTTGAAATGAATGCGGGACCAAAGTAGTGGAGGACTTTGGCCATCCAAAGCCAGAGAAATACACATACACACATATATCTATGATCGGGAGTTTCCTGGATGTTAGTATGTAATTTATTATTATTTTTTTTATTTACGAAAATTATAATTTTACATAACTTTTCTACATTGATAGAAGTTTTAAGGAGTTTCTTAGTTCCTTTTTGTCAGGAATGCCAATGCAGTCAATGCAGAAATACGAGAAAAATTCTCTCCTAGTTCACGTGTCTGCCGTCAGAAATAGTGTGTTTGTGGAAGGAAAATAGTTTTAATCTATTTTACCTGCTGACAGGCTGTCAGCACAAACACACTATTTCTGACGGCAGACACATGAACTAGGAGAACGTTTTTCTCGTATTTCTGCATTGACTGCATTGGCATTCCTGACAAAAAGCTTGTGTGTGTGTTCGGAAATGTACTATCCACTTTCCCTGTTAAATTTGATCTAATCCGTGTTCTGAAACACACCTCCTCTCCTGCTTTCACTTCTCAAACCGACGGCTAGGGAGCGATTAGTTTGTTAATCAATCTCCGTTATGATCTTGTCCTGGGAGCACTGTACCAATGTGGCGGCGCTATTGACGCATGCTCAGGGTCCCTATGCGATATCTAGTGTATATATCTATGAGCAGACTCAATTGCAGGGGGGGCCCGATTTCTCATGACACCGCAGTTGACAACTGGCAGGTGGGGTCACGTGATCTACCAGAGCCTGGTTGGTGGCCATTAACAACTGGCTGGTGGGTCTGGTGTGCTACCAGTGACTGGTTGGTGGCCATTGACAACTGGCTGGTGGGTCAGGTGTGCTACCAGTGACTGGTTGGTGGCCATTGACAAGTGGCTGGTGGGTCAGGTGTGCTACCAGTGACTGGTTGGTGGCCATTAACAACTGGCTGGTCGGTCAGGTGTGCTACCAGTGACAGGTTGGTAGCAGTTAGCAACTGGCTAGTGGTTCAGGTATCATGCCAGTGACTGGTTGGTGGCAGTTAGCTACTGGCTGGTGGGTCAGGTGTCCTACCAGTGGCTACTTGGTAGTAGTTGGTAACGGGCAGGTCATATGACCTTTAATTGAATTAAATGTTTTTAATAATAAATAATATGATCACTTTTACAGGTTTATTCTTCATCATGGGACACTTTCAGAATGTTTATCACAAATAAAGTGTCCTCAAATCTACAAAATATGGAAAGGTCTGAGTTCCCTGCAGAAAAATTTAGCTTAAACCAGCCAAGGCTGGTTGGCTGGTTTTAGCTGGTTGACCAGGCTGGTTTTAGAGGGGTTTTGGCCATTTCCAGGCTGGTTTCTAGCCATTTCCAGCCTGGTCTTAGCTGGTCAGGCATGGAAAATGTCCAGCTAAAACCAACTTGGCCAGCCTGGTTTAGGCTGGACATAGCTGGTTTTGGCTGGGCTCACAGCCTGGCTAGGCTGGTCAAGCTGGTTGTAGCTGGTCATCTCCCAGCCTGACCAGCTAAGACCAGGCTGGAAATGGCTCGGAACCAGCCTGGAAATGGCCAAAACCCCTCTAAAACCAGCCAACCAGCCTAGGCTGGTTTAAGCTGTTTTTTTCAGCAGGGTTTCCTTCGGTTTAATTTCTCTGAAAATAATAAAATTGACCTTTTCATTTAGACATTGGGCACTTTAAACAGGTTAATCACAGATACAGCGCTCAAATAGCTGTCAAAACAACTGGCTGGTACTAATGCCTACCCAAGCAGCTCAGTCAAGCTGTGCTTAAGCGTTTTGAGTGTGACGTCTAATTAGCACTCTCTTTCTGGGGAATCAAATTATTAATTTATGAAATGTATATTCTTTATGGTACTCTGGTTTACATACCTTATGTTTGTCGCAAATGTATTTCAAAAAAGCAGCTTTATACATTGATTTACCATCATGAATATACTCTTCTGGACCCTTTCTATTACACACTGTGTTTATTAGTCAGGCTAATTCCAGATACCGTGCTTAAATATAACCACGATTACAGCTGGCTGGTCATGCCTCCCCCAGCAGCTCCACCTGCCACTCGCTGATTATTCCTCCCCCTGTAAGCGCGATCACATTCGGAGTCTGGCGCTTGTCCTTCGGATGCCTTTCAAGAGAAGGGCTGTTTGAGAATTATCTATGTGAGGTGCATGGGAACTGTAAACTAGTTTGTGGAAAAATTGAATTCCAACCAAATAGCCTTTGATAGAAATGATCTGGAGTTTTTTGATAATTGTGAGGTAGGATATGTAAGAGGTGTGTAAGAGGTGAGTATCAATGGTAAGTAGGGAAAAATCGAGAAACAGTATATTAAAACATGCGTGGATTGTTTTTAAGCTTTTTCATGCTATTAAATATGACTGTAGGGTTCTAGGCACCACTGCTTGGAGGATAAAGTCGAGGGAGGCTCCATGCAGATTTTTTAAAGGATGATCTATTGAAATATCTGCTCAGAAAAAAGGAGGGACTTGAATTGGAAACTGATCCACCTCTGGTGCCAAGTGTCTGAATTTTTTGAAGTCAAAATCAGTGAAAATGCAGTGAACGGTTGCTTCATTGTCACAGTGAATTATAATGCAGGAAGCGGACCATTCTTTTCCTCATAGGGATGCAGCAACGACTAGTGGATAAAGCTCAAATAGCACCAATGATTTTAGTGGTTGCGGCAGGTCTAACAGCTGGGGCGGCCAGGTGGACGCGAACCAGCGTCCTTGATAATAACCTCTGAATCCGATTGACGGGGCAGCATCAGTGATTAAGTTAAAGTCTGCTGGGGAGCATTAAGTCGCTGTAAAAGAAGGGAGAGACCGTTTCATTGTTTGAGGAATAATATCCATAAACAAAGTTCATTTTGGCTACTGTCGTCGATAAATATTTGATCCTCTAGACCGTGAGCTGAGGACACGAGAAATAAGAGATGAGAAATAAACGAGCGGCCTTGGGGAATTATGCGCATTGCGAAATTCAAATGGCCGAGAATTGATAATAGCTCGCCCTTAGAACAGGTTGGGTTGTCTAATAAGTAGGAAGCTACCAGGATTGTTCGATCAATTTTCTTTTTGGTTGGGACGCTTGGAATTTGTTGGAGTCTAATTTAATGCCTAAGAATTCGATTGAAGTGCTTGGACCGGCGTTTTTTTTCTTCGGATACTGTCAAAAGGTGCGTGGCTGGGATAGCGTTGGGTGGTGAGATAATTATGGAAATCATCTAGTAGGTGGATTAGGTGTGGGATTTCGTAGTGTATTTGCTTCCGACAGGGTGTCAAAAATCTTTGGACTACTTCTGCAACTGAAATTTACGAGGACTGAAAATTATTATTTTTTTCACCAAAGAATGCCGAAAAGGTGCCAGAAGTCCGGGAGGATGTTATGTCAACTTTAGCCATCCAAGCGCTGCGACCCGCGATTTTATTTAGTGAAATAGCTTTGTCCATGTTGTGATAGTTTATTGCGAATTCTTCAAGAGGGATGAGGCTGTTGAAACTAGGAAATAGAGAGTTATGCGGGAAGGAAAGGTAGACTTTTAGCCATTTTTTATCTGAGAATTTCCTAGTGGCTACCCCGATAGGACTGACGTAATAAACGCTGAAAGGTGGTGCCGAGAAAGGGCCAATCATGACATTTTTGTCTACTTCTTTTTTGATTAAAATATCAACGACGTCAGGTTCGGCGAGATCGGACTGAAGATTTGGACAAATAAGGCTAAAGGAGGGGAGGCTAATGACGCCTGGATGGAAACCTGAAGACAGACCCGCTGATAGAAATTCTGTGAATTTGGGATCGGGATGTTGGAACAATTCCGATCTTAGGCGAGAAACATAGAGTCGATAGGTACTTTCTAGCATTTTTATTTACAGATTTTTTCCCTGGACATATTGTGCAGTTGTGGCCACCGTCACAGAATTTGCAAACATGCAAGAAAGGACATTTCTGTCTCCAGCACCTGCCGCTGTTGAAGCCGGTGCAGGGGCTGGCAGAGGCTGGGACAGAAGAGTGATGATCAGAAAATAGGGGCGGAATATTTGGGTTTAAAGGGATGTAACTGGTAGATCTGGGCTGGTTCTGTGAGGGGAGGAGGGATGGGATTTATGAATGGGCATGATTCGGTGGGGTGGGTGGTGGATTGGCAGACGGCGCAAGATATACTGCGGCAATCGAGAAAGACTTTATTATGGAGTTTGGTGTCTATGGCTCCCCAGAATGGGGTCTGGTTCCATTGTGAAATGTGAATGGCGCATTTAGCAGAAAAATGTCGGTGGTAAGTATAGAAATGGGAGCCTCCGTATGAGAGCGCGAGCTCAGTGACTATCGCGAGATAATCATTGAGCTCACGCCTTCTGTGGGGGAAAAACAGAACAAATGACTTCGGTATAACGTGAAAATGCCAGGGTTAATTCTGTGAATGATAGGATGCGGGACTGAATGTTGGCTGTGTTTTTGAAGGTTACTGAAAATTGGCCGCAACCTAACTGGCGGTCTGCCGATGTGGGTGAAATGGGTGAGAGGAGAGAAAAAAGATCAGCATCCGAACGAGCATGAGGCGTTTCTTTTAAAATGATGATTTAACACCTGGCATTTTGCGTGTTGATGTGCATGAGGTGTGTTCGACTTCATGCAGGGCTTCGCAGATTGATCGAAATCTGTCTTAAAGCGGTGCATGCTGGTTAGAAATCTTGTCCGGATTGATGCTGCACCGACACCACGTGACTGTCACATGTAGCATCAAAGTACCGCAACAGCGCTCCAAGATCAGACAACAAGATTCAGCCGGTGCAGCGTCTGAAGAGCGACTGCTGGAGCTGCGATGACGACACCGATATGACACGATTCGCCAAGTTCACCGAATGACAACAATCACCGATTCACAAATATCAAAACAAACAATTCACTTTTCATACCCTCGATATCTTGTACACATCATGCTTATTTAAAGCCTACACATGTTTTACTGCATTATCATTTTTTGTTAAATAATCTGGTTATAAAGTCCAGATTGTTTGCTCAGGTTTATTTTTCAACCTTTTTTATACAGACTATTTACTGCATTCAGCTCCATGAACTATTTAAATGATATATTTTAGTAAACAACCTAAATATTTACTCTAAGTCTTACCGCCTTGAAATAAATGTCGTCGTTGATCCTGTCACCCACAAATTAAGTTAAATAAGTATTTTAATAAATAATTATAAAAGGATTTATATGATTATAAAATAAAAAAAATTCCAGTCAGGCCGTTTATACACGAGTTTTAAAAGTGACGTTGTATTTATGTGCTGTATTTGTGATGTTGTTGTGCTGTATTTGTGATGTTATTCAGCTGTATTTGTGATGTTTTGCTGTATTTATGATGTTGTTGTGCTGTATCTGTGATGTTATTCAGCTGTATTTGTGATGTTTTGCAGTATTTGTGATGTTGTTGTGCTCTATTAATGATGTTATTGTGCTGTATTTGTGATGTTTTGCAGTATTTGTGATGTTGTTGTGCTGTATTTATGATGTTATTCAGCTGTATTTGTGATGTTTTGCTGTATTTGTGATGTTGTTGTGCTGTATTTGTGTCAGTTCCTCTGAAGAGCATCTCAGTGGAGGTTCGGGTTCAGGATCATGTCGCCTCGGTCTCCTCCACTCTGCAGTATGTGAATGACGAGCAGCGCCCCCTGGAGGCCTTGTTCGTCTTCCCTCTGCCTGCTGATGCTGCTGTCTGCCACTTCAGTGCCAAGATCGGAGAGCAGGAGATTGTGGCAGAGCTTCAAGACAAGGAGAAAGTGAGTCCAAATACAAACCTGTAGGATGCTGCTTTGCATATATTTTTATTTTGTGGCTCAAACTAAACTGTGTGTTGCAGGCGAAGGATCAGTATGATGATGCTGTGAGTTCAGGACAGCAGGCGTTTCTGTTGGAAGAGAGCGCAGAGAGTCCTGATGTGTTCAGACTGAGTGTCGGGTGTCTGTTGCCGGGTCAGAACGCTGCCGTCACCATCATCTACATTACTGAGCTCGCTGTGCAGGCCGACCAATCACTGCGCTTCTGTCTGCCAGCTGTTCTCAACCCCAGATACACACCAGCAGGTACTACAGCAGCAGTGGACACACTCTTTATTAGCAGAGAGAAGAGTGTGTGACTGTGTGTGTGTGTGTGTGTGTGTGTGTGTGTGTGTGTGTGTGTGTGTGTGTGTGTGTGTGTGTCAGGTTCAGATGCTGGTATAGTGTCAGAGATTTCATCAGTAAGTGGAGCAGTTCCCTACTCTCTGACTCTCAGTGTCCACGTGAGCTCTCCAAAGCCCATCTCCAAACTAGAGTCCAACTGCACTCTGGATCCTCTCGTGTTCCTCTGCTCTGACCACACTCAGGCTACGGTACTGTGTGTCTTGATGTGTTTATGTGGATGTGTGAACAGTGCAGGTTTATCCATGTGTCTTTATTATGTGTGTAGGTGAATCTGAGTCCTGGTCACATGTTTGATAGGGATGTTGAGCTGTTCCTGTACTATCAGGACACCCATCAGCCCTCTGCTGTAGTGGAGGCAGGAGTGGCCACTGCACCGTCAGGTAAGAGCTGCACAGAAATCTGGAATTATGGGATTGTGTGGTAAAGTTTTTACTGATTTATTCTCTTGTTTCAGGCTCTCTAATGAGAAACCCTGTGGTCATGATTAGTTTGTACACAGAGTTTCCAGAGGAAGTGATGTCATCAATGGCAACTCAACGTGAGTTTGTTTTTGTGATGGACAGATCAGGCAGTATGGACGACATGATGCATCGTGGAAAAGAAGCACAGCACCGCATTGAAAGTGCAAAGGTAAGATTTAAAGATTCACTTTTGTATTTAGATGAGACACTAAAATTTCTGTTCACGTCTCTCTGCAGGACACTCTGCTCTTACTGTTGAAGAGTCTGCCCATGGGATGCTACTTCAACATCTATGGATTTGGATCTGACTTTGAGTCTTTCTTCCCGTTAGTCACTGCATTTAAAAAATCAAACTATAAATAACTTTAGTTCCCCTTCTAGGGAACTTCAACACTGCGTCTAACCAGAACGCTAGGGGAACACCTCTTTTATACGCGTCTTGAAGCACATGTGAAATCAATCTAATGTAATTAAGCAGGTGTCGTCAGACCAGAGAGTATAAAAGCCTGTACTGAGCATTCAGTATCAACTTCTTTGCTTTCAAGAAGCACGCACGTGAAAATACACCCTCTTTCTGTAAACTTTCATTACTGATTTGCATACACAAAATACAAAAAAACTGACAACTTACTTTTTTATTTTGGTATGGCAGAGAAAAACTTTAAACGTTGTGTGCCTCCATGCCCTCGCTTTATTACGGCTGGTGACTCACATGATTTGTGTTTAGAGTGTTTGGGAGAAGAGCGTGCCCTGGCAGCTTTTGAGAATGCTGACTGTGGACACTGTGACGTTCTCTCCCGTAAAGAGCTGCGTAGTCGGAGAGAGTTCTTTAATAAAGCTCCTGTGGCGCACGCTCCTCGCGGTTTGGGTCCCGCTCGTGCTGAGGCTGAGCGTCGACTTCGGTCGTGGGGTTCGCAGCTAGATCTGGCGGATGAGATGGAGACGGACTCTGTCCTTTCTCTCTCTGGATCCATGAGATCTAATCCTCCTTCGGGAGCGTCAGAAGCACGCTCTGCGGTTTCTTCTGCGCCTCGTGGGAGGGCGGCGTCCTCCGTTTCCGAGGAGTTACTGCTGGTAGCCCCGGTTTGGCCTACCAGGATTTGGTTTTCGGACCTTATAGCCCTGCTGGCGGGTCTCTCGTGGGAGATCCCCATCAGCAGGGACCTTCAGTCCCAGGCGGGAGGAATGATACTTCATCCCCTACCCGACCTGTGGAAACTGTGGGTGTGGCCTCTGAGGGGGCCCACCTCATAGAGTATGGACTGTCAACCGAGGTTGCTCAGACCATTCTAAGCTCCAGGGCTCCCTCCACAAGGAAGCTTTATGCCCTAAAATGGGCTCTCTTTCAGCTTGGTGCAGAGAACACCAGCTGAACCCAGTCAGCTGCCAGGTAGCCTCAGTGCTGGAATTTCTCCAAGATCGCCTGTCTGCTGGGTTAGCTGCATCCACTCTGAGAGTGTATGTTTCAGCTATAGCGGCCTACCGTTCTCCCCTAGATGATGAGTCACTAGGACAGGATCCGCTAATTCATCGCTTCCTTCGTGGAGCCATAAGGCTAAGGCCTGTCAGCACACACAGGGTACCGACATGGGATTTAACATTGGTGCTCGAGGGCATCTCTGTTCCCCCATTTGAGCCACTGCAGGAGGCGTCAGATAAGTTTCTGACACTAAAAACAGCTTTCTTATTGGCTATTTCTTCCTTAAAAAGGGTTGGTGACCTCCAGGCTTTGTCGGTTGCACCTTCATTTCTGGAGTTTGCTCCAGGCATGTCCAAAGCCTTTCTTTATCCCAGACCGGGGTACGTGCCTAAGGTGCCCACTCATGTGGCGAGACCTGCTGTGCTACAGGCCTTTCACCCGCCCCCATGTCAGTCGTCGGACCAAGAGAAGTTAAACTTACTCTGCCCAGTTAGAGCTCTGAATACATATGTTAACCGGGTTATCAACTGGAGAAAGAGTGAACAGTTACTGGTCTGCTTTGGACCCTCAAAAAGGGGGAGTCCGGCAAATAAGCAGACAATAAGTAATTGGATAGTTGAGACTATCTCATTTACCTATCAGGCTGCTGGACGCCCTGCACCTAAATTTGTTAAGGCCCACTCCACAAGGGCTGTCGGGGCCTCCAAAGCTTCTATTTCGGGCTCAGCCCTTTCTGACATTTGTTTGGCGGCAGGATGGTCGACTCCACATACATTTGTGCGTCACTATCAACTCGATGTAGACCCCTCACCAGGGTCCTGTATTCTCACTGCGTAGTGTGCGTTCACAGTCAGCAGTGAGTCTGGCCTAGTGGGTATTGCGTTCCCCTAGCGTTCTGGTTAGACGCAGTGTTGAAGTTCCCTAGAAGGGGAACGTCTCGGGTTACGTATGTAACCATAGTTCCACGAGAGGGAACGAGACACTGCGTATTCCGCCATACTCTCTTCTGCCTGTTACTTCTTTCAAGCAAATTCGAAGTTGATACTGAATGCTCAGTACAGGCTTTTATACTCTCTGGTCTGACGACCCCTGCTTAATTACATTAGATTGATTTCACATGTGCTTCAAGACGCGTACAAAAGAGGTGTTCCCCTAGCGTTCTGGTTAGACGCAGTGTCTCGTTCCCTCTCGGGGAACTATGGTTACATACGTAACCTGAGACGTTTTAATGAGTGAGAGGTGAGAAGGTGACTTTGTGTTTCTGTCTTTGCAGTAAAAGTGTTGAGTACAGTCAGGACACAATGGATCAGGCTCTTGAAAGAGTCATGGAAATGCGAGCAGACATGTGCGGCACAGAGATTTTACAGCCTCTAGCACACATCTACAGTCAGCCCTGCATCCCTGAACACCCCAGACAGGTTCAACACCTCAACTACTCATTGATATTGGTGTAAAAGTATAAACATGACTTGTGAATCTGATGTTTTTCTATCTTCAGCTGTTCGTCTTCACTGATGGAGAAGTAGGAAACACTAAAGAGGTGCTGGATCTGGTGAAAAGTCACGCTCGTTCTCACAGGTAAAGTTCTGCTGGTTTTGATCATTCAGATCTTCATGGCTAACAGTAACAGTGTTTCTTGTGTCTCCAGGTGTTTCTCATTCGGGATTGGTGAAGGTTCAAGCACCGCCCTCATCACAGGATTGGCCAGAGAGGGTTCAGGTCATGCCCAGTTCATCACAGGCAGAGAGCGCATGCAGCCCAAAGTAAAGCTCTCCACTGGACTTCACAGACACGGATGATTCCTAGTCACATGACTCAATGTCTCTTTCTCGTCCAACTGTATCAGGCGATGGAGTCCCTCAGGTTTGCTCTTCACCCCGCTGTGTCTAATATCTCAGTGAAGTGGAAACTTCCAATGCTTGTTACTGCAGAAACAGTTTCTCCACCCATCAATGTGCTCTTCCATGGTCAAAGGACTCTCATTTATGCCCAACTTAAAGGAAAGGTGAGAGGATTTACCATACTTTAGTGTCTCTCATTTGTTCGATCATAAAAACTGTCTAATAACTCTACAGAGTTTAAGAGGCTCTGAGGGATCAGTGACAATCAAATACAGTCTTAAAGATCAACCAGTGACAAACCAGCTGCACTTCTGCATCAAACCAACTGAGGAAACAGGGTAAACACTTAGAATCACATTGAATTCAGTGACATCTGTTGTTGGCTTTTCTAAATCAGCAAATTCTACTTCTGTTTCTGCAGGTTGGTCGTCCACCAGCTGGCAGCTCGAACCCTGATCCGTTCTCTAGAGCAAAAGGAGAGATCTAGTGCTGAAAGTAAGAATCTCAGGAGCTCAATAATGAAGCTCAGTGTTCAGGCAGGAGTGAGCAGTGTTCATACAGCCTTCATTGGCATTAATAAAGACACCAAACAGATTGTGAAAGGACCCCTGCAGCGGAGAAGAGTGCCGACACAAGGTTAGTGCTCTGCTTGAATCTGCTTTGTTGTCACTTGACTGTTTAATGTCTACATTTGATGTCAAATGTTTAGTGCTCTGCCAGTGACTAAATAATTGACATTACTACATACAGTACTATGGTAAGGCTGTAATATTAATCGTTAAAAGATTGCAATCTCGATTCGATTCCCAACACAATCTAAGTCCAGCATTTCTATGATTCAGCCATTTGTATTTTCAGGGTCAGGAGAGAAGCACAAAGGTGGTCGCACAAGTATTTACATAGCGCTTCCAGGGTGTCCGCAGGGTGGTAAAAGGTAGTAAATAAAATTAGCCAAAACTAAAGGGCACCTATGGTAAAAAATCTACTTTTCAAGCTGTTTGGACAGATCTGTGTGTTGGTATTGTGTATAGACCGTCATATTGGCGTGATATGAACACACCCAGTCCTTTTTTTTTTCAATTTAACTACAAAAAAAAGGGTCGGCCAATTGGAGCTGTTTTCAAATCAATCGCACCATTACGTAGGTGTGCGATTCCCCCGCCCACCGAATTGATTGACAGCTGCGCGCATTAACATGTTCCGGTAGTCGCGTGTATATGTCAACAAGACCAGGCAGACATACGCAAAGCAACCGGGAATAAGAGGTCTGTTCTGTTCGCTAGGATCAGCAATCATCATCAAATGTGATTAAGAGTAAGTTTCACATGTTTAAAGTGTTTTAAAACAGAGTATGTGTGTAATTAATTACAGCGTTTTACTTCAGCTTTACTTTATCAGCACAGCCGCGTGTCAGAACAATTATAAAAGAAGACGCTTCAATCCCGGTTTGTGGAAGTTAAATCAGGTTTATTTTGTACATTAGCATAACAGATATCCACACAGTACTTGAGGTTAGCCTTAACTAGGCTAAGCGCGCTCTGTTTGTCTGCCTGCCTGCGCGCGTGTGTGTGTGTGTGTCATCTGCGGTGTGCGTGTGTGCGTGTGTGCGTGTGTGCATGCGTTAACTTTGTAACGATATTGTGTGTGACTCATCAATGCAACTTCACAATACTGATTAGTAAAGGTTAGTTCTTACTGTAGTATCTCACAAACGCTACGTGAGACCTTCTTCCTTTAAGTCTGTCTGTTGTCTGACGCAGCTGAGGGAGGAGGCATGTAGAAAAAGTAGGCGGGATAAACTCGTCTTAAAGGCGCAGTACAACAAAACCACCCCCTCCTGGAAATCAGTATAAAACAGCATCTTGTAAAAGGTATAATGAAAAATCTGATGGGTATTTTGATCTGAAATTTTATATACACATTCTAGAGATGCAAAAGACTTATATTAAATCTGAAAAAAGGGGTAACCTAGGTGCCCTTTAAGGGCATTAAAAAGTAATAAACGTCATCTGATCAATTTTTTTGTTAAATTTTCAATTTGTGTTAAGCGCAGGCCTTTATTCAAATTTTTGCGTGGATTTATTTATGTTGAGAGTAGGTCCTGAGCGCTGTCATGTGAGGTGGTTTTCTGATTTAATCAGTTATTCAGTACAATTAATTTAACCCAGAGACATCAGCTGATAGTCTTGTAAAACAGGCAACGTAACACTAGTTTTTACCTAAAACTCTGTTATTATTATTATTTTCACAAAATCAATACCTATTCCACAGCTTCTTGTTAAATATTTTGGATGTGTTCTTGGTTATTTGGTCACACCTGAAAACGTTGTTGTTTTTCTTCCTTGACGTAAATCCTTCTCCAGCAGACATGTGTGATCTACAATCACCAATGTAATGTAATGAAAAGGCTGAATACGTTAAAGCCTACCTAATCATTGAAGCCTGACGGATGAACAAAAAATACAATTAAAACCGATTATGAATAAATAGGATATCTTGTAAGATACTGCATGTTCCAAATACAGTATTATTTGATACGTTTTTAAAGTTGTCATTACATTTTAGGCATGAAATCCAGGCTTGATCCACCCTTCTGGGCCCGGTTTTTCAAAAGTAATCCATTAGGATTTTGGATTAGGGATTGGATCAAGTCTTGAAAATGTTTTTTTTAAAAGAAAAAATTTAATACATTATCAGATTAGATCACGTAATCCAATCTTGGTTTTGATCTGGATCAAACCTTTAGTTTGGATTTTTCAGATCTTTTTTGTAGCATTTGGATCACTTTGATCCAGAAAATCTGGATTAAACTGATCCCATCAGAATGGTGAATTCAGCGTGGATTTCATGCCCAAAATGTAATGAAAACTTAAAAAATGTATCAAATAATGCTGTATTTGGATCATGCAGTATCTTACAAGATATCCTATTCATTCATAAGGTTTTAATTGTATTTGTTTATCCGTCAGGCCACAGTGATTAGGTAGGCTTTAACGTATTCAGCCTTTATCTGGTTTATGGTATCTGGTTTTAGTAATCCTATTTTTGCGATCCGTGATCACGTAATCCAGCTTTTTGAGCCAGTTTTTTAAAACAACATCGGATTGGATCAATCTGATCCGGATAGGAACTTTTCAGGGTCACTAAATCTGGAAAACCAGTGCTCAAACAGGATAGGAAATCACAATGTAGAACTAAAAATATGTAAAGAGCAGCAAATTTTAAAAAAAAATGGCTATGACTGATTTGTGAAATCACTTTCATCAATTGCAAAAAGAGACTGAAAGGGCAGAAGCACAGCTTCATCTGGCAGAGGAACAACTGACTCTGACCAAACTGCAGCAAACCAAGGCCAGACTTGAGATCCGCTCAGACAAGCTGCTCGAGACTGAAATTATTGTGGAGGTTTTGACATTAAAGTCTTTTTTTTTTATTCAATGCATCTATATTTAAAACTTGTTATAAATAACCTCAATGTACAGTGTTTGTGTTGTAGGTCTCAGATGAGCAGGAAGAGGATGGGGTGGGGTTTTTCTTGTTTTTAGTTTGTAGGTCACTTTGGATAAAAGCGTCTGCTAAATGACTAAATGTAAATGTAGTTTTATTTTTTAAATGTGTGTGAGTGTGTTTTCATTTCAAATAAAAATAAATTTATATTGACCCCACACTGGCTATTCTACTTGCTGCTCTTTACATATCTTTAGTTCTGCATTATTATTTGCTATCCTGTTTGAGCACTGGTTATCCAGATTAAGTGATCCTGAAAAGTTCCAATCTGATCCATTAGACTGATCCATTCCAATGTTGCTTTGAAAATCTGGCTCAAAAAGAATGCTGGATTACATTATGAAGGATCGCAAAAACAGGATTACTAAATCCAGATCAATTTTATCCGGATCAAACCTTTCGAAAAACCGGGCCCAGGTATTGTCAATTTCAATGAAACCAATATTGATGCATTCAAAATCTCTCAATGAAAAATATCAATGACTTAAATGTACTCCAAAGGTCCTTTCGCATGAGCTGAGTCAAGGTGTCAATATTGAGACTTCATGTATCCAGATTCACATAGGATATCTCTTTTCAAAAGTCCAGTATGGTAGAAGTACACCACTACAGTATGTGATTATATGCATATTTAGACAATTTCAATCTGAAATGTTTTTTTCTACATGATAAAATATGCCAAAAATACAGTCTAGTTATTCAAAGTAGTGTTTGTTGGGTCTTTTGTCAGTTTTTGCTTATTTTTCCAAGTCTGAATCTGTCCTGACCTCTGATTTTTCTCGCTGTAGGTCAGATGAAAACGCTTTATTTGATTGGTCCTCCTATTGACTTGGATTATGATGATGATTGTTCTATTTATAAAGGTAAGGTTTTTAAAGTCATCCATTACCAACCTTAACCATTACCTTTTTTTCCTTTTATGCCATTGTTTTTCTTCATCTGAAAGAAGTTTACACAGTAAAGTTATTTTAAAGGTGTTTTTTGTAGTTTTTTTGTATGTGCCTGTTCTGGGCTATTTCTCTGTACCCCTTGGTTTTTATTCATGTTGCCGCTCAACCTGCTTATCAGATAAATTCATCATGTTTAAAACAATTATTCAGTACACTTAATTGAACCCAGAGACATCAGCTGATAGCAAACTGTCTTGTAAAAGACCACATGACCCTGTTTTTACTTAAACCTCTATTATCATTATTATTATTATTATTATTATTATTATTATTTACAAAATAATACCTATTCCACAGCTTTTCTTGCTTGTTAATTCTTTTAGATGTGTTCTTGATTATTTTGTCACACCTGAAAAGGTGTAAATCGTCCTCCACCAGAAATGTATGATCCACAATCACCAGGTATTGTCAATTTCCATAGAAAAAATATGGATGCATTGAACGCCTCTCAATGAAAGAGTTTTAATGCCCTCAAAAGGTCATTTCGCATGACCTGAGTCAGTGTGTCAATGTTGAGACTTCATGTATTCAGATTCGCATAGGATCTCTCTCTTTTAAGTCCAATATGGTTAAAATACACTACTACAGTATGTGATTATATACTGTAGATATTTAGTCATTTCCTATCTGAAATGTTTTTTTCTAGCTGAGGAATTATGTTAAAATACAGTCCAGATAATTCAAAGTAGTGTTTGTTGGTTCTTTTGTCTGTTTTCGCTTATTTTCCAAATTTGAATCTGTCCTGATCTGACTTGGTTTCTGTTGCTGTAGATTGTTCGAGCAATGATAATTATGCTTGTTCAGATGTTGAAGTGCATGATTATGTTGGTTGGGTTGTTCGTGTGGAAATATTATAACAAAGACAACACAGACATGGTGGACAAGGCAGGTGACAGAATTTAAATCTCAGCCACTGCATTTATGAACATCAGCGGGGCAAAAGTTAACATGAAAACTCACAGGAAGTGAATTCTAGTTTTCTGGTCTTCATGTAAGTTTGTGTTTGTGTGGATGTTCAGCTGCACCTGAGCCTCCCCAGGACCTGTTACTCCCGCTGGTTTCCCTCCAGAAGGCCTCGGGCTGCTGGGAACTGGACGCCGCATTGGCTGCTGTGTTGGGGAAGACAGAGGATGAGCTGACCAATCAGAAACCAGCACAGGTGAGACATGTGACAAAACAACAGCAACCCAGTTATGGTGGTGTTCAGTGTCCAGCATCAGATGATGGTTTGTGCACAGGTGGATGGGTCAGTGTGGGCCACTCTCCTGGCTCTGATCTGGTTGTACGGCTGGAGAAAAGGGCAGCAGGTGGAGTGGCAGTTTGTGGCCAGGAAGGCAGCGGCGTGGATCACCTCTCAGAAAGGTCAGATCTCCATTCTAGAGCACATTCATTCAGAGATGATGAAGAAAATCATGTTAAAATCGTGTGTGTGTGTGTGTTTCAGTGGGCGATCTGTCTCAGTGTGTGTGTGTGGGTAATGTCCTGCTCGGATGTCAGGTCACCAAAGACTCTCTGGGGATCTGAAGATATCGGAAGACCAAAGAACAGACGCCATTACATTTATAGTTAATCTCTTACTTGCGTCAGAAACATTTAATCTGTGATTTTTATTTGCTCAAATCAACACCAAATCCTAAATGAACCTGACCTCCACCATCATTAGATGAAACCTCTCCAACCTGTTTCTACACAACAGCTATGTATCTTCATTTCTCGGTTCATCTATTGAATATTAAGAGACAATGTATTATAATTAATGACTTATTTTACAAAAAGACAATCATTTTGAGGAATAAAAAAGAGCTTCGGCCTCAGATAAGCTCAAGAAACTGATGCTACAATAACAAACCTAATAACAGACCCGTTCACACCAAGCATGATACTGAACGTTAAGCCCTCTTTTATACAATTATTTAAAGATAATGACTATCTAACAATTGCTTATACCATGGAAAAGAATGATTAATACACAACTCCAGGCCAACAAATTGAAGTATAAGAATAAAAGTAGCTCAGTTATCCAGATTCAGCATCTTTGTGTTTCCTCATGTTGTTTTTATTCCACTAACCTGACGACTACAGGAAAAGCCGAGACCAGCACATTTGGCGTCGTCCTTTATTATTGTCTGCCATGAAAACAGAGTAAAGGCCTGTTCATCATACCAAACATGATAACTATAAATATGAGTATAATGGTGAATATATTTGTGTTGTGAAGTCTGATTGGTCTGATGACATTAAATATATGAGACACAAAAAATCACTGATGTATTCTGATATTCCAATGCGCAAAAGCACAACTCTTAAAGGGCACCTAGGTTACCCCCCTTTTTCATATTTAAGTCTTCTGTGTCCCCAGAATGTGTCTGTAAAATTTCAGCTAAAAACGCCCATCAAATTATTTATTATAGCTGTCTGAAGTGTCAAATGCTTAACATTTATTATTATTATTATTACTATTATCATCATATTCACATCTTGGAAGAGATAAAAGCTGCCTGCATGTAAAACGATACATAAAAAGAAATAAATAAATAATTTAAAATAAAAAACTGACTGGCCCACATTTTAAAAATGGCCATTCCTATCTGGCATTTGCCAGATGGCCAATCCGCCCCTGAACTCACTGTTCAATTGATAAGCATGCTCTTAAACGAATAATTTAATTAGGTTATACATCTGTGTCTATGACTGTGTCTTAACCACTATTATCTCGGCTAGAGTCCTGGGTTGGGCTGAGGGGTACAGTGCTGAAATAGTTTGTCATACATCTCCGACAGGAAGATTTCTGTCAAATTTGGTATCTTTTCCTCCTCCACTGCACAGTTAATGTGTGGTCTTCCCCAAGGCTCGATTCTAGCACCTTCGCTATTCTCTCTTTACATGCTCCCAGTTTCTATTTTTAGAAAATATGGCCTGCCCTGTCATCTTTATGCAGACGATACACAAACCTATCTGTCACTCAAAAAGGAAAATGAGTCCTCTGTTGTGAACTCCTTGTCACTGTGCCTGGAGGAGGTAAAAGCATGGCTTTCTGAGAATTTTTTATTTCTAAATGAGGAGAAAACAGGTTGTTATATTGGGGCCCATTGATTTGTCGGACTGTAAACGCCTCAGGTTGGGCAACTTGGAGGAGTTCAGATCACCCCAAGTACGTAACCTGGGCATAACATTAGACCAGAACTTATAATTTGATAAACATATCTTAAAAGTGGTTGGAAATAGTTTCTACCAACATCGCCTTCTCTCTAAAATGAAATCCTCTCTTCCTTTACACTCTCTAAAAATTGCCATTCATGCGCTTATAAGCTCAAAACGGCCCTGTTCTTAATCTTTAGTGTGGTCAACAGTGGTAGCATCTTTAAATTAGGCAAAATTTCAATTTTTTTGCTCTTTTTATTGGTGCACTTTCTATGTTCTTTCCTATTATGTGCCTATTGCTGCCTTTTGCAGCCTTGTGGCAATTGGAAACGTGCTATTTAAATAAATTGAATTGAAACTATGAATGACCTATGCTCTGTTTCTACAAACCTGTTTCTGAACACTGTTTCTGAAACCTTTTATTGAACGCTGTTTCTGAATACGGTCCAACTTGTGGATCTTTATCTATGCATGAGAAATATAAAAAGCTGGAATATACAAACCAGCTGCGCGTTTCTGACTTCTACAACTGAATGTCTTGGGCCCTTTATTCTCAACTGAGTATAAAGTAAAGGATTTTGTTTCTGTTATTTGTATCTTTGTTTATTCTACTTGTTTACTGGATTTTATTCTATTAATAAAAGTGGTTATTATATTTCTTCACTGGAGTGCACATTGAATTCATTTTCCAGAAACTCATCAACCTTGTGTGGTAAAGTATGAATCAAATTTATTTCTTGAGCAAAATCTTAAGATGATCCTTTAACTAAACTTTAGCTAAGAAATATAGCATAGGGAGGATCCTGGTGTATCTTTGTTTAATTAGGGTAATGAAATAAAGGTGATCCAGCACAGTGTCCACGCTGACCAATGATAAAAATGGGTTTATTTTTAGTTTATGCTTTGCTTTACCCCTTTGTATCCAGCAGATGTCCTTAGTGGGCTGTGAATTTTTATTCTTAAAGGTTTTAATCTAATCCTATGATTAAATACTGGATGTGTATGGATTATTTGACTATTATTCGAAGTGATTTGATTCAGATTTGATTCAGATTATCCACAGGTGGATATAATAATGTTTTCTAGTCATTTAAATGAAACTAATCACATACAAAACCATTTATATTCTGTGTTTTTGCTGTTTTGAAAATTAAGTTTGATTGGAATCTATCAGTGATTTTTCAGCAAGAAATTATGTTTTAAGAGGGACAAATATCTGAAGTGACTCTATTTACAGCAGTTTCAAGTATATGTTGTTACATTTATAATAGCAGTCGACAGTTTTTTCTGTATTACATTTAGAGGGAATGAGAGCTGCTGCTTCTGTATGTCCTCTATTGTCGAGTCAGGTCTTTATAATAAACGTATTCAGGTTGTAATAGTTAGTTTAGGTTAAAAACTCTCGATAGAATATTATAGGAGGTAGTGAAGAGTTGCTCACTTTATCAAACTGCTGTTAGATTTTAACTGGCTAATATTGAACAGTAAAGTCGGTTACATAAAAACACCACTATACGAAAACAAACACTACACGAGAGCTCATTTTATCAGTTTAGATGTGATGTTAGTTGTGTTTTGACTTTCACTTTCGATCTGAACTAAATCCCAAACAATTTTGACGGAGAAAAAGCAGCCAAGTAAAAATCACTTGTTTCCTGTTGCAGATTATGAGGAAGGTTTAACTGAACCTCCACTTTATTTAAATAAAAATCAGCCGTACATTTATAAACTTGAATATTATTTTGGCATCACGAACGGTGTGAGGCACATCCGGGTACGCCGCATCTAGTTGACGTAATTAATATTCATGAGGCAAGTCTGCGCTTGAGTTTAAAAATCACGCAGGTATCGTCAGACAGGCACTTAATAACGGTCTTCTGAATGAGGTGTTTCGACGACTTGTGAAATCAACTCATCTCCTGCCTACATATTTCCATCTGAAACTCTCTGAAACACTGGTTTACTCATTAAATAAGTCGGTCTGTAAAGATTTGAGTCAGATTAAAAGCAATATTGTAAGGTCAGGAATTTTAAATAGGTCAAGCTCGTCAGTTCCTCAAACAGCGTGAGAATGGTGAACTGCGGTCTTCTGACAGGGTTGAATGAGCCAGGTAAGAATTCACATATACTTTCTTTCACTGTAATCGAGTTTTAAATAAATTAATCTCTTTTTTAATACGTGTTAACGTTAAGCTGTTTCCACAAGTATGTTTGCTGCGACGGCTTTATATTACACTGCAATAAACGTTAGAATTTATATTTATTTCTATGTTTACACTTGGTGGTTGATTAAGTTTTAGGATATTTAGATTATTAGTCTAAGATTATTTTGTCCAATAAAGAGTTGTATGGGCTCTGTTGGATTGGTGTTGTTCTGCGATATTTATTATTTTCATTTGCTGTTATAGTGATGTTATTCAGCTGTATTTGTGATGTTTTGCAGAATTTGTGATGTTGTTGTGCTGTATTTATGATGTTATTCAGCTTTATTTGTGATGTTTTGCAGTATTTGAGATGTTGTGCTGTATTTGTGTCAGTTCCTCTGAAGAGCATCTCAGTGGAGGTTCGGGTTCAGGATCATGTCGCCTCGGTCTCCTCCACTCTGCAGTATGTGAATGAGGAGCAGCGTCCCCTGGAGGCCTTGTTCGTCTTCCCTCTGCCTGCTGATGCTGCTGTCTGCCACTTCAGTGCCAAGATCGGAGAGCAGGAGATTGTGGCAGAGCTTCAAGACAAAGAGACAGTGAGTCCAGATATAAACCTGTAGGATGATGCTTTGCATATATTTTTATTTTGTGGCTCAAACCAAACTGTGTGTTGCAGGCGAAGGATCAGTATGATGATGCTGTGAGTTCAGGACAGCAGGCGTTTCTGTTGGAAGAGAGCGCAAAGAGTCCTGATGTGTTCAAACTGAGTGTCGGGTGTCTGTTGCCGGGTCAGAACGCTGCCGTCACCATCATCTATGTCACTGAGCTCGCTGTGCAGGCCGACCAATCACTGCGCTTCTGTCTGCCAGCTGTTCTCAACCCCAGATACACACCAGAAGGTACTACAGCAGCAGTGGACACACTCTTTATTAGCAGAGAGAAGAGTGTGTGACTGTGTGTGTGTGTGTGTGTGTGTGTGTGTTTGTGTGTATGTGTGTGTGTGTGTGTGTGTGTGTGTGTGTGTGTGTGTGTGTGTCAGGTTCAGATGCTGGTATAGTGTCAGAGATTTCATCAGTATGTGGAGCAGCTCCCTACTCTCTGACTCTCAGTGTCCACGTGAGCTCTCCAAAGCCCATCTCCAAACTAGAGTCCAACTGCACTCTGGATCCTCTCGTGTTCCTCCGCTCTGACCACACTCAGGCTACGGTACTGTGTGTCTTGATGTGTTTATGTGGATGTGTGAACAGTGCAGGTTTATCTGTGTGTCTTTATTATGTGTGTAGGTGAATCTGAGTCCTGGTCACATGTTTGATAGAGATGTTGAGCTGTTCCTGTACTATCAGGACACCCATCAGCCCTCTGCTGTAGTGGAGGCAGGAGTGGCCACTGCACCGTCAGGTAAGAGCTGCACAGAAATCTGGAATTATGGGGTTGTGTGGTAAAGTTTTTACTGATTTATTCTCTCGTTTCAGACTCTCTAATGAGAAACCCTGTGGTCATGATTAGCTTGTATCCAGAGTTCCCAGAGGAAGGGATGTCATCAATGGCAAATCAAGGCGAGTTTGTTTTTGTGATGGACAGATCAGGCAGTATGGACTGGACGATGCATCGTGGAAAAGAAGCACAGCACCGCATTGAAAGTGCAAAAGTAAGATTTAAAGATTAGTATTCACTTTCGTTTCTGTTGGCGTGCATTTAGATGAGACACTTGAATTTCTGTTCATGTCTCTCTGCAGGACACTCTGCTCTTACTCTTGAAGAGTCTGCCCATGGGATGCTACTTCAACATCTATGGATTTGGCTCTCGTTTTGAGTCTTTCTTCCCGTTAGTGTCTAGATCTTTAAAGTATCCATCCTGTTTTTGTTGTCAACACCCCCTGAATGCATTCTGCGTTTGGCTCTTCCTTCCTGTACCATAGCAATATCTTTTATAGATATTCAGATTTTCACTTTTGAAAAGTGTCAGCGATGACGAGGAGATCTTTCTGTCTTTGCAGTAAAAGTGTTGAGTACAATCAGGACAAAATGGATCAGGCTCTTAAAAAAGTAAAGGAAATGCGAGCAGACATGGGCGGCACAGAGATTTTACAGCCTCTAGCACACATCTACAGTCAGCCCTGCATCCCTGAACACCCCAGACAGGTTCAACACCTCAACTACTCATTAATATTGGTGTAAATGTATAAACATGACTTGTGAATCTGATGTTTGTCTTCAGCTGTTCATCTTCACTGATGGAGAAGTAGGAAACACTAAAGAGGTGCTGGATCTGGTGAAAAGTCACGCTCGCTCTCACAGGTAAAGTTATGCTGGGTTTGACCTTTCAGATCCTCATCACTTACAGTAACAGTGTTTTCCCTTCATGGGAACTCTGACGAGTGTCTAGATAAAGACACCATGGTAGATCGCAAGATGACCAATAACTCTGAAGAGTAAGAAAACAGGCCAATGAATGCCAAATGAATTGGCAGAGGTCAGCTTTGCAGGTGCCAATATTAATCATTAATAGAGTATATTAACTGTCGTGTGTGAAGCAAGTATTAGATTTTTGTTTCAGAGCCTCTCATTGAGACTGAAGAGACCTTCTGCCACACTGACTTTTTATCGAAAGCAGTTTCTTTTTCTCTTTTCTTTCCCGTCCCCTGGATGTCTTGCTGGTAGCTAAAAGAGCAGTTTTAACTAAAAAACGGAACCCCTAAGAGTGCAACACAGCCGAACAATGAGTCTTTTAAAGATGTCGTTCTGCCTGTGTGTTTCTGAATGTGGGTTTTTTTTCACCCTGTATGACAGGCAAGAGCACTGTATTACATGTCTGAGGGTCCAGCATGTCAAGCAGATGCTTGCAGACAGTTCTTGCCCTCAATGTCCAGGCTTGACTGTTGCACAGTTGAGGTCACGCCAAACTGCAGCATTAGGGTGCATCATCCCTGCTTCTCCCCGCCAGATGGTTAGCACATGGGCAGGCCTGAGGATCACAGTGGGGGCTCATTTATCGCCCTCATACCTGCGAACCCCTCACTCCTTGTCAGTGTGCTCTGTCCAAGCTTTAAGTGAGATTGCCGGTCTATTCTTCGAGATGGAGCCGCCAGGGGGTATAAGGCAATTCAATCTATGCCCAAAAGGTGCATCCACCTGGAGAGGTCTGCCCAAGCTCCCATCCAAAGCATGCAGGTTATCTGAGTTTCTCAAGGACAGAGCCTACACTGCTGCGGTCCAGACTGCTTCCGCTCTGCATACTATGGAAACCTATCAATGCTACCAAGCGGAAAAGCTGGCTGAGCTACAGGAGGGTGGTTCTTCTCTGGGCTTGATGCATGAGCTCTGCACTGTGACTTATTATGCTCTCATGACCACTTAGTGGTTCATGAACGCAACCTTTGGCTAAACCTGGCAGAGCTGAACCTCCCGCGAGACCGAGATGCCCCCGCCCCAGGGTGCCGGTAAATTATTCCTGGGACAGACCACCTGGAGAAGACGGGACCTGCTCTTTTCTCGTTGAAACACAGAGGACTCATTCCATTCATTCATTTTCTTGTAGGCTTAGTCCCTTTATTAATCCGGGGTCGCCACAGAATAAACCGCCAACTTCCAGCCGCAACCCATCTCTGGGAAACATCCACACACACACACACTCATAGACTCTAGGTAATTTTAGCCTACCCAATTCACCTGTACCGCATGTCTTTGGACTGTGGGGGAAACCGGAGCACCCGGAGGAAACCCACTCAAAGGCAGGAAGAACATACAAACTCCACACAGAAACGCCAACTGAGCCAAGGCTCGAACCAGCGACCTTCTTGCTTGCCTCGCCTGGAATCATTCAAATGTCAGTAAAATTGCCAATAACATCACTGCTGGACTCCGGGCTGACGGTACCCACATTTTAAAAGAAGGAGCAGTTTCCCATCTCTCCGGGTGAGAAAACCCGAGCCTTGCCAGTCTAAGATCCTCTGATGGTGCCATTAGTGGGCTCTGCCAGCCTGGTTAGTGCTGCCCAACCTGTCCAACAGGGACATGATGGTCCGGCACCTTGATCAGTTGGGGCTTCGGGTCAACTGGGAGAAGAGCAAACTCTATCTCGTGCAGAGAATTTCCTATCTCACAGCTGGACTCTATTGATAGAGCATGCCAGGCTGGTGCTGCCCTGTCTGATCATGCTTTACAAAAAGACAGTGGTCCCACTGAAAATTTAATTTCAGAGGCTCCTCGCAAGAAGTCTGTGTCCACCTGTTTGCTTCTCTTCAAAATTCCGATTGCCAGTTGTTTTACTCCCTGACTGAGGCCCCCCTCAGCATTTATGCTCTGGGACGGAAGACTTAGGTGACTTACCGGCATTGGGGGATAGCACCATCACTCAGGCTAGAGCACCCTTTACGTGGCTTGCATACCCCTTGAACTGGTGTCTATTCGCTGAGTGGTGCCTGGGAATTCGCTGAGAATGATGTTTGGTATTCCTGCTTGGTCTACCTAGATGCTGGGGTTCTGTGCCAGCTATGCATGGGCCCCGATGGCAATCCCATATCATTCCAAACATAAACCTTGTTCCTTGAATAGGGAATGGAGACATTTTTCTCCAGCTGTTAGCTGAGTGATCAGTTCTTCAGTAGGCAAACAATCTAATGCTTGCTTCACAAGCACCTGCTGATATACTCTGTTATTGATGAATTGCTGGCAGTTCAGGTTCTGCCAATTCATTTGGCATTCATTGGCCCGTTTTCTTCATCTTCAGAGTGATTGGTCGTCTAGGGATTTCTCTTAGTGTCTATATCTAAACTTGTCTCTCTTCCCTATTTGGGGAACAAGGGTTATGTTCGTAAGCGAGACGTTCTTATGTCTCCAGGTGTTTCTCATTCGGGATTGGTGAAGGTGCGAGCACCGCCCTCATCACAGGATTGGCCAGAGAAGGATCAGGTCATGCCCAGTTCATCACAGGCAGCGAGCGCATGCAGCCCAAAGTAAAGCTCTCCAATGGACTTCACAGACACAGATGATTCCTGGTCACATGACTCAATGTCTCTTTCTCGTCCAACTGTATCAGGTAATGGAGTCCCTCAGGTTTGCTCTTCAGCCCATAGTGTCGAATATCTCAGTGGATTGGACACTTCCAGAGCGTGTTACTGCTGAAACCATTTCTCCACCCATTGATGTGCTCTTCCAGGGTCAAAGGACTCTCATTTATGCCCAACTTAAAGGAAAGGTGAGATGATTTATCGTACTTTAGTGTCCCTCATTTGTTTAGATTGTAAAAACTATCTTTGATTGTAATTAACTCTGCAGAATTTAGGAGGCTCTGAGGGATCAGTGACAGTCAAATACAACCTGAACAGTCAACCAGTGACAAACCAGCTGCACTTCTGCATCAAACCAACTGAGGAAACAGGGTAAACACTTAGAATCACATTGAATTCAGTGACATCTGTTGTTTGCTTTTCTAAATCAGCAATTTCTGTTTTTGCAGGTTGGTCGTCCACCGGCTGGCAGCTCGAACCATGATCCGTTCACTAGAGCAAAAGGAGAGATCACCTGATTTTACAAGGAAAAAGATCAAGAGAACATTAGCAAAGCTCAGGAAAACCATAGTAAAGCTCAGTGTTCAGGCAGGTGTGAGCAGTGTTCATACAGCCTTCATTGGCATTAATAAAGACACCAAACAGACTGTGAAAGGACCCCTGCAGCGGAGAAGAGTGCCGACATACGGTTAGTGCTGTGCTTGAATTTGCTTAGTCCCTTTATTAATTTAAGGTCCTCACAGTGGAATGAACCTCTAACTTATCCAGCATGTTTTACACAGCCGATGCCCTTCAAGCTGCAACCCATCACTGGGAAACACCCCGATTACACTACCATTCACACACATACACTTATTTAGCTTGCCCAATTCACATAAAGCGCATGTCTTTGAACTTGTGGGGGAAGTACGCAGAGGAAACCCCACGCAGACACAGGGAGAACTCTGTAAGAGTGTGTGAAATATGTTTCTACTGTAATTGAATTGTTAGCTATAACATCTTTGAAAGTATTGAGAAATACGGCAAGTATTTAGAGCATTAATTCTTCAGGTCTTAAAAAGACTTCTAAAATGTGCAGCAACACTGATTGCGCCTCCAGTTCATCTCTTTAACAAATATTCTTCTTGTTTTTCTTTACTTGTGAATGTGTCTGCTTTGGGCTGTTTCTCTATATATGAATCTGTTTTGACTGTTGGCTTTTCTGCTTGCAGCAGGGAGAATGAGAGAACTCAGTGGGTATTCAATACCACGAGGTAAGTTCACCTTAGTGTGATAGTTTTATCAAATATGTGTGTTGTTTTCATGGCGTGAAAATATTTGTAAAATATGAATTGTCTTTCTACCAGTTTCTCTTTTTAACACTTTGTTTGTTTGTTTGTTTTTCTTTCTTGTAAATGTGCCATGTCTTGGCTGTTTCTCCATTTATGAAACGGTTTTCACTATTGGTTTTCTGCTTGCAGCACCGCTGAGAATGTCTGGTCCATTGAGGGGTAAGGTCCAGGTTTCCACCTCTGGTGTCCTGGGGAATATTTGTGAATTTATTAATTTATAAATTAATTTATTTAATATGTCTGCTTTGGGATGTTTCTCTATATATGAATCTGTTTTGACTGTTGACTTTTCTGCTTGCAGCACCGAGAATGAGAGGTTCTTTGCCATCGCCAGGTAAGTTCACCTTAGTGTGAAGGTTTAACCGAATTTGAGGATTGTTTTCATGGTGTGAAAATATGTGTGAAATATGAATTGTCTTCCTACCAGTTCCCCTTTTTAAAACTTTGATTGTTTGTTTTTCTTGTGAATGTGTCATGTCTTGGCTGTTTCTCCATTTATGAAACGGTTTTGACTGTTGGTTTTCAGAGATGTATAGTAACGAAGTAGAACTACTTCACTACTGTACTTAAGTACTAAAAGGCAGTATCTGTACTTTACTGGAGTATTATTTTTTTCTCCTACTTTCACTTTTACTTAAGTACATATTTTCCATGAGTTTGATACTTTTACTCCGATAGATTTTTTATGTGCTGCATCGTTACTCGTTACTAGTGGTGTCAAAATGATTGATATCAGTTCAGTAATAATAGGTCATAACCGGTTATTACGTGATGACGTCATTTATCTCCTATGCGCGATGTCGCAATACTATGGCGAAGGACGGAGGCGCGAGGGCGAGGCGGCACAGCATACCGGCCGCTAGTTTACTGTTAGGGAGAAATGTTGTAAAACTTCACCTCTGCCTATCACTCGCTCTCTCACTTTGGACATTTGACCCGCTGGCCAGTTTGTAAGGTAATTTTTCCTCTCTTCTTAGCTGTTAAAGCTGTGGATCCAGACATAAGCGTGCCTCATGTGCAAGCTTTCTCCACTGTGTCTATTACCTGTGATAATCGCGTATTCTTCCCGCCATGGGTGAACAGCGCTTATATTTCTAAAGCCCTTTCTGTTGAGGACAATAACCAATCATAGCCGTGTAAGACCCGCCTGTCAGCGCTCAAAAAGCAGGCGGGATAATATTGACATGAGTTTATTAGCTGTAAATGCTCGTGCTGTCTTCTGTGCATGAGTTTAGTTTGATACATCCAGAAAGAGTGAGCAGGTCAAATTAAGGGCACAGTTTGTATATCTGACTGCTTTATTAAAGGACAAAATTTTATTACAAAAAAACCCTTTAACTGTCACACCAAGACAAAAGCAATAGAAATTTTTTTGATTGCATTTCTTAACTCCTAATGTCGCTAGTTAACACAATCAGTGCATTTTTATTCAACACATCACATTATTTCTAAATTATCAGCCTCTACCAAATGGTTGAGATGTTGGTTTATGGTAAAAGTACCAGAATTAGTAAATATACTACAGAAAATATGAACTGTAAGACCAATTTCATTAAAAACATAATAAAAATAAATAAAAATTATTACTAAATCATAGCCATAAGCCATAAAATATTTCAGATTTTCATTTAACACAGTAATATACACATTTTCCTGTTTTTTACAATAAAATCAAAATCAAGTGATTTAGTGAAGCAGGATTTAGTTTGCTTGTTTAGTTTAGTTTCACGAGTGCTTCCAGAAGACAGAACTCTTGTTTATTGTGGTATTAACCAATCAAACTTCAAAACTCCCAAAGTGTGAGTGTGTCTTTGTGTGTGTGTGTGTGAGTGAGAGTGAATAATGTGTGAGTAAGAGAAAACAACAGTGTGATTGTACCTGTGTGTGCGTCTGTGTGTGTGTGTGTGTGTGTGTGTAAGAGAGAGTGTAAAAACAATTGCAACCTATGTAATGTCCCCACAATTCACAAAAATGTGTGTGTGAGAGAGAGAGAGATAGAGAGAGAACTGTGTGTGTGAGAGTGTATGAATGTGTGAGAGTGGGGAGAGAGTGTACATTTAGGTGTGTGCAGGGCAGTGTGTGTGTGTGTATGAGAGACTGAGAGAGAGAATGTATGTAAGTGAACATGCTGAATTATCTCATCAGTGAAGGCATTTTCTGGTAAAAGGGCCTGACGATGTGAGCTCTTGTACCATAGAAACTATTTACAGAGAAAAACAGTATCATAAGCCATGTTTCTTTTCGTTCTGCTTAATCAAGTATTCCAAAAAAGATATTTAAAATAAACAAAACAATTAGTGTATTTTGACTGCTTTCTTTAATAACAACATTACACAATACTTGTACTTTTACTTTTAGTACTTGAGTAGTAAATTTTTTAATAAACTACTTGCAATACTTAAGCACAAAAAATGTTGAATACTTTTGTACTTCCACTTAAGTATGGTGCTTAAAGAGCACTTCTACTTCTACTCAAGTCAATTTTTGATAAAGCACTTGTACTTTTACTTAAGTATGGGTCTCTAGTACTTTATACATCTCTGTTGGTTTTCTGCTTGCAGCACCGCTGTTGGGATGTCCATTGAGGGGTAAGGTCCAGGTTTCCACCTCTGGTTTCCTGGGGAATATTTGTGAATTTATTAATTGACTGCGAATGCGATTTCTTGGTTCAAAAAACAAACATTGTTCAGAAAGAGAGAGAAAACATTCTATGAAGAAGGTGTAAGGTCCAGCCAGTTAGTCCAATGACAGTTTCTACTGGTGGACGAAGGTTCACTGCATGTTTGGTCAACATTTTCACAATGTTGATTTACTTTAAACTTAACTCATATCTGACTCCAATTTTAGTATGAGGTGGTTTAGAATATTAATATATTTATTCGTTTAATCTGACTCCATTTATAAAGCATTGATAAAATTATTTTGTTTCCTTTAGATTATGATTAAATATTCTTTTGGATTTGTTATTATATATTATTCTCATTTATTCAGATTCCTAAAGCATCCCGAGTCTTGTACCGGCCGAGTATACAATCTCTTAACACAAGCTTGACAGTCTTGGGGCCCTATCATACACCCGGCGCAGTGTGGCGCAAGGCGTGGCGCAGTAGTCTATTGGTAGTTGCTTGGCGCAAGAGTCGTTTTGAGGCGTTGCGCTACGCTGTTTAAATAACAAATGCATTAGCGCTCATATGTGCGCCCATAGGCGTTCTGGTCTAAAAAGGAAGGTGTTCTGAGGTGGACCGCTGGCGCGTTGCTATTTTGAGAATTTATAATAGATTTTTCATTGGACCAAAACTAACCCGGTCTAAACTCCGGCGCAGAGTTGTGCCTCGCTTACGCACTGCTTAATACGCACAAGAGAGCAATAGGCAAATATCTTTGCATATGAAAACATGTAAATATTAATGATATATATAGGATATAATAAGACTAGATATAGAATATAAATATAAAGGATTAAAATATTACAAAACATATTATTTTCTAGCCTACATAAATATGAAAAATCACTGCTTTTATGTCTTCTTCATCTCGGGAGGATTTTTCAGTTCATTCATAACAATTTGCTTTTGTATAATGTTATTATTATTAGCAGTATTATTTATTATATCCATATTTATATTTGTTTTATTAAAAACAAGCTTAGATTTGCCCACCTGTCAGGTTTTAGACCATATGGGGCACAGCATGTGTTTTAGGATATAACTCAGGTTTTTGAGCACATTTTGTTATTATTATTCATTTATTTGTTTGCTGGAAATTAGAACTGAATTTAGAAATAGTTTTGTAACGAATATTTGCGCTTAACAAACAAAATTATTTATTTATAGACTAATTGATGTCTGTGTGTAAAGGTTTCCCTATCCAAGAGCGAAAGTGAAAGTGATCTATTATCTCTCATTCTCACGCAGTAGATGCTCTGTTTAACTGTTTTCTGTTAAAAAACTGTTAACTGTTAGCTTGTAAAATGCTCTTTTTTTTTTCCACTTAGACTTACTTTGCGTCCTGTAAATAGCGAATGCGCTCTTGGCGCGACACAGCTGGCTCTTAAAGGGAATGGGAGATGAGACTCTAATTGGTTTATTCTCAAAACACACCTATAACTCATTAAGAAAATAAACTCAACCCTTTTAGACCATGCGCCGCGGCGCAAGGCAGATTTCCCTTACCTTAAATTAGCAAAAACGCGTCCTGACACGCCCTGAAAGCGTTTGCGCTCTGCGCATGGACCGTCAAAATAGAGCCCTTGGTCATTAAACAGGCGATTACCCACTCTCCTAAAAAAGCAGAACCCTACTTACTCAATTTAGGATATTTTATTTGGGCCCCATAGATATGTTATCTACTAAATCAAGACAAACCATTTTAGTCATAACATAATCATTACTATAGAATTCACACTATACAAACTCACTTGAACTATTAGTAACTTTGAATAATCACCATATGATTTATACAGTATTATAAGTTTGTAGATGAAGGCCTAACTTCCCCACATTTAGATTGGTCTCAACAATATTTTGTTGTTCTATGGGTTGTAGAAAACCCATTATTGGCCTTTTACAGTCTAATTATACTGGAATTAATGCCAATGTGTTAATGATGCTCTAAAAACATCGTATAACACTGCTCCGTCTAACGTGTTTTATCTTGCATGTGTGTTTTTGTGTTTGAAGCAAGAGCTTTAAAGGCTTTTCTTGTCATTCTCAGCTCAGTGCAGTTCAGCTGTTGATTTGACCTCATTAAGATGTATAGTTTTCTCTTTTAGTAAGGATGTGGTGGGTAGTTCTCCTCAGTATGTGTGGTTTTTTGTTTCTGCAAGATTGTTTGTGGGTTTTGGTTGGACAAACATCACGCCATTTCCTTGTACTTGTTTTTATTGGTTTACAAGATTCACCAAAACACTAAACAAGTCTGTTTTACTCACTGAGTATTTCATACCAGCAGTTTAGAGCTGAAACGGGAAACAAGAACTATAAAACAACAAGTTGTTTAGATGACATCATGCATGTGTGTAGTAGGCTATGTGTTACTGTAGGTATGTAGACGTACACAGTATGTGTCGATTATATCGACAAGCATGAACTGATGTACACAATGGTGCATTTCTAATATCTTCAGCAAAGTGTGTATTTAATTTACCAATATTACAAACAACAGCAGAGATTTGTCTTATACACACAGCAAACTCTAAATGCACATAGGTGCCAACACAGACAAGGTGTGACAGAGCCAAATACTGCCCTGGCATACATAATACAGCATTTTTGGCTTTTTTTTGCAGGTATGTGTATCACACATGAATCATTTTGAAATTGTAAAGGAAAAACCGTCCTTTTTTTATTTTTATTTTTGGCCTTTTTGCCTTTATTAGATGAAACAGTATTATATAGGACTGGAAGCGAAGTGGGAGAGAGAGAGAGGGGGGGAAGAAATGTCCTTGAGCCAGGATTCCAACTCGGGACGCCCTGATATGCTACTGCACCATATGTCAGCGCTAACCACTAGGCCAGGGGTTTTCAAAGTGTGAGGCGGGCCTCCCCTGGGGGCGCCAGAGCCTGTCAGGGGTGGCGCGGGAAAAAAATTTATAACATAAAAATATAATTATTAAGCTTAAAATATTATATGTATTTTTTATTAAATTTACAATACAGGTATATGCCTGCTAATACATTGGATCGGTTTCTTAGACCCCCTGATTCAAAGCCTTCAAGTTCAGGGCTTAAACCCAAAAAACGACGATATGATGATCAGTATTTGAGTTTAGGATTTACGTGGACAGGACCAGCTGATGAACCACAACTTTTATGTGGTTTGTCAAGATATTTTGGCTAATGACAGCATGAGACCCGCTAAACTTTGACTGTTTTGACTGGGATGGACAGTTCTTGGATCTGTTCTATTCATATTGAACCATCGTCCTAGTTTTAAAAACAATATATTAAAATACTTGTTATTACTCTGTAAATATTTGCACTTTCATGCAAATGATGATAAAAGTGAGTTAACAGTCTGACATCTGTCTGTGTCATTATATATACTGTATATATATATATATAGCATGTTTGGACACCCCCACAAGGTCAATCAACCACACAGTTACAGAAACTGACAGCTTCGCTGCTGGAAATGCTTCAGCACACAGGTGTTGAGTTGACCTCATCAGTTAATGTGAAATGTACATTTAGCTGTTTTACAGAGGATGTGGTATATTGCTATTTTCCATGTGTGTGCACTGAAAAAAAATATTCAAAAATGATTCCTTGGATTTTCTCAATTTTTTTATGTTAAGTGGCTTTAAACAATTTAATTGTGTTGAATTTAAACAAACAAATTAGGTTGAACATTATTCAGTTTAATTTGTTTGCTTAAATTCAACACAAATAAATTGTTTGCAACAGTTCTGCATGCAACACTTTTGTCTGGTAAAACAAGCATCACAAAGTTCAAGTCTCATCTAATTTAATAAAGTTTATTTCATATCATTACTGAGTAATCTGAGCCAAAAAATGCCACTGTTCTTGTTTGTGTGTTGTTCTGTATTTTGTGTGATTTGAGTATTTTACCATCAGGTAATTGCATCTCAGTGCAATATTATTTTTGACTCAGATCAAGTATAAAAAAAAAAAAAAAAAAAAAATATATATATATATATATATATATATATATATATATATATATATATATATATATATATATATATATATATATATATATATATATATATATATAATTTTTTATTTTTTTATTCACACAGGAATGCTCTTGTGTTTAAAAAAAAGTAAATTTAGATTGCTAACACCACAACCAAAACGCAAATCTGTATGGCTGAATCTAATGCACAATACAGACTCTAACTGATGTAGTTTGATAATGAATAAATGATCTTCTTTAACTGATACATACAATACAGCTTTTCTTGCTTGTTATCTATTTTGGATGTGTTCTTGATTATTTCCTCACACCTGAAAATGTTGTTATTTTTCTTCCTTGAAGTGAATCCTTCTCCTCCAGTCATGTATGATATACAATCACCAGGTATTGACAATTTCAATGAAAAAGAAATATTGATGCATTCAAAACCTCTCAATGAAAGACTGTAAATGATATAAATGCACTGGAAAGGTCCTTTCACATGACCTGAGTCTGTGTGTCAATATTGAGACTTCATGTATTCAGATTCACATAGGAATTCACATCTCTCTCTTTTAGGTTCAATAAGGTAGAAGTACACTACTACAGTATATGATCAGATACATATTTAGGCATTTCCTATCTGAAAAGTTTTTTTTTTTACATGAGGAAATATGCTGAAATGCAGTCTAGTTAATTCAAAGTAGTGTTTGTTGGGTCTTTTTCCTGTTTTTGCTTGTTTTCCAAATCTAAATCTGCCCTAATCTGGTTTCTCTTGCTGTAGATTGGTCGAATGAGGAGGAATTTGATTGTTCTGATGATGAAGTGGACAATCAGGGATCAGAAGGTCAGTCGACTACACGGTTATAGAAACTATGACAGCTTCACTGTTGGGACTTTAAATGCTTCAGCACACAGGTGTTGAGTTGACTTCATCAGCAGGGGTGATAGCGTTCCGGCACCACGCCGGATTTCCGGCGTACTGTGGCTGCGGGTAGGGTTGTGACAGTAAGGAAATTTCCCCACCGGTTAATCGACATGTGACAACACCGGTAATACCGGAATCACCGTGGAGTGGGCATTTTTTCATTTCCTCTTTTTTTCTGCTTTTAAATAGCTTATAAATGCGTGCGTATAATACTTTCACTTTCAGTTTTGCGGGAGTTGCCAATTCGGTGTCAATTGTTTGAATGGACGGAAAGGAAACTACAAAAAAAAATCCCTGTTATTAAACAAAACATAACTTTTATTTACATAACGAATAAAACACAACACTGCTACAGGCTGAAAAAACTGTGTAAGTTGGAACCATACAAATAACAACCATAAACGCCTATGTTATATATTAACAGCTTAGTCCTTATGAACAATCCGTTTATAAAATACATTATTAACGAATTTAGGCTATTGAAGAATAAACCGAATATGAAATATGATCCTTGCATAATGATCACAACTAAACAAGCGAGCACTCATTTTATATTTAAACTATATGAAAAAAATTAAGAATTGGAACATTATGTAAAAAATCAAAGGGCAGGCATAATAAAAGCGCCTCGTCAGAGCTAAACATCACCGCACATGTGTCACTTTACAGCTTCTGGAAAGATCAGACAACTTATACAGATCACACAATCTCAATAAACAACATGTAAATGTATAAATATTTCGATAAGTATTGTTTTGGAATATTTATAACTAAATGATCTTGCTTTTTGGTTTTATCGATACAGCTTTGATCTCTCTTACAAGCGGCAGTTACAGGCGCAGCATAAGGGCGTCTCACACTGTCAGTGGCGGAATACACACAGCACTGCCAAGACGTTTTATTTTAATTTTATTTGTTGCAGATTTGCACGTTGTTCCTTTAAAAAAAACTTTTATTTTTTAATTCTCTCAAGTTAATGTTGTCTATCGAGTAACTATCGAGTCCCTCGGATTGGAGTTCAGTGCGCATTAAGACTATTGACCAACCGCCCTGTAAGTTTAAACACTACAGGTCCACAGCTCTGGTGTGGTATGAATTACACGTTTTAAATGACAGCGAGACATGCTACGTTTAGTTTTTATTGTAAAATATACATTATAACCTAGTACACGGTAAAATAATGTTTAGAATGGCTTGTCTATTGACGGCGTATAGCCGTTAATTAAATATGCTGAGCATATTTTCATTAAAATTAAAACACATTAATACAAATTAGCCACCCTTTGATTTTTTTTCGTTTACGTATATTTTTATCAAACGAAAAATGCAATGAATTGTTAATTTTAGTTTTCATTTTATTCGAAATAATAGTCCTATAATTTATAGGCTACACAGCTCATATCTTTGGCTCCAATTGCGTTTTTACAGATATCCTACCAATAGACTTTTTTTTTGGCTCAAAGACATTTATGCCTATTAATTTGGTGCATTTTGACAGATTTCGTAAAGGCTTCAGCTATTCTACCTGTCAGCTGCACCTGCCTAAGTTTTGCAACTTGACTTGTGTTGTGGCTCGATGTCTGAATGAGAGAGAGAGAGAGAGAGAGAGAGAGAGAGAGAGAGAGAGAGAGAGAGAGAGAGAGAGAGAGAAAGAAATCAGTCCTCAGATTCGATGTGTGGCCGCACGTCTCAGTTACTTTATTGCAATTTTTAATATTGGCTCATCTAAATAAACTTTTCATATATTAAAAGCCGAAATATTGCCAGACAGAAGAAGCAACTTTCGGTTTTTGCAGAGAGCGGCCTCAGTTATAAAAGATGCGCGCATACACAGGATTCTTTTTGGCCTATATGGATTTTTTTGACATTAAACACATAATCAAGTGGAAATAAGAACAGCTGAACTTCGGAAAAAGTCCTCACGTTGCCACGATGTTTCTCTGCAGTTGGATTGTCAATGGCGCAGCATTGCTAAATCACTCGTTTTAATAAAAAAAAAAAAAAAGATATTTATTATTAAACATTGTGAGATGATGGTCGCGTGAATTTTTTTTAAATGAGAGTATGCGTTGCGTATGTATGGATCTATCCGCGACCCACCCATAGTTAAACATGAAGGTGCGTGTATAAATTAGTTATGTTTCCATGAAAAAAAAATCAGGTCCACGGATATTAATCTGTCATTTCTCTAGATTCACAGAATTCACTCACTGCTGAAAGCGCCGGATTGGTTTTTATTAAGTGCCTTTTTGTGTGCTCGTGAATCATCTTTTGAGTGTAGACGCCATGTAAATAAAAGATTAATTGTGTAATTTAGAGAGCTTTATAAATTATAACGGATCTTTGTGAGATCTCTATGAACTAAGATTAGTGACGCTTTTTAGTGATAATAAGAGGAGCGTGCTTTGCACTTTCCAGGCTAATCCATTCAGAATTTGTATGAAACTTTCGTTTTCGGCACATATACGCTGATATGTTTTGGCAATGACATCTGCATATTTACGCTGGGTTTATTCTCGAAATAACGGTGAAGCAATAGACGGGACAAAAATATATTTCCCCCTTCTCCTTAAACAACTTAGTGTTTCAGCTATGAAATAGTTCAGTTTTGTATGTAGCCTAATGGCAAAGTGTTTATATTTAGTTTCGTTTTTTATTCAGCTTATTTAGAAAAACGTTTGGAGCATTTTTTATTCGTTAAAATTTTTTTTTTAACGAACAGCGCCCAGCGGAAGACCATCATTGTCTGTTTGATCAGTTTGCCTTCTCAGATCATCACGACTTGTCTAAAATAAAAGATATAAAACAGTTCAAGTATAAAACAATGGTAGCTTAAACGTTAAAGAATGTGTGCTATTAGGCGCATAGTTTGCTTATAAAAAGCTTGCAGGACATCGAGGCGCCAGAGCAATCACTTGCATTTTTTCAGTGGGAGCAATTTAAAGTTATCCGTCATTTTTGCTCACAAAGTACGAGTAATACATCAAAAAACGTTACAGCGTTTTTATAAAATAAAGAAAACCTAAATTATGCGCTTTCTGTCGTCTGTTTTTTGAACAGGAGCGCTTAACAAAATGAAGCAAAATGTATATGCCTCACAGACATAATAAATATATTTATAGAAAGCTTTAAATTATTACTTAACGAAATAAAACAAATCGAAAACAAGAAAACTCCTTCATGTAATCCGTAAAGATGAATTTCTAAAGGCGAGTCCAAGAGGAGATTGCCAGTCAGGATCTTTGCGACACTGACTCAGAATAAGTTTATTAATAAATAATTAAGATATGTCCTTACTCTTTCCTCGACACATTCATTGTTATTTGTTTTTGCCGGTGCTTGGGGCGAGTTTTAGCTTATTGTGTGCGCTTGAACGCGGATTCACAGTAGCAGTTTTAACATGGAGTGACACGACTTCTGACGTACAGATGACACTGGCACATTCCGGTGGCACGTCCGGTTTTCCACTGTCATGTGTCACTCGCTAGTGGCATGTGTAGTGACCTGTGTCACTCAGAGTGTCGCGCTGCATGTCACTGCAGTGACATCGACACCCGGCGAAGCTAATGACATTAATTAACACGAGCAAAACCATATTTAATCATTACGCGACTTTTAACCTAATTTATCGCGTCGCAAGTTAGTTTATTTGCTGAACTACTCCACGATGTTTTAATTTAAACGCATTTATTTTATGTATTCGTAGTCATACTTCCGTACGTAATATAGTCATTTGACAGTACATGTCAGTCAAATTTATTGTGGCATGCTTATGTATGGGAGGGGTTACACTTATCTGTTGTACTGTATATTATTGCATCCTTGCAGTTCCTTTGTTCCCTACAATATGGACTTCTCTATGTTTTTAATTCATTCATTTATTTTATTATTTAACTTATTTTCATTTTAAGGTATTTTAAATAATATCCTTTAAAAAGTTATAATAAAATGCATGTTGAAAACTCATAACATATATGCATGTAAGATAACAGGTGTCATTTGCCTAATGATTTTTAAATATTAAAGCAAAGAGACTTATCAGATTAATGTGCTTATAACGTGCTTATACTGACACCTACTGGCACATGTCACAAGATCACTGACACTGGCATGTGTCACTGACATTACAGGCATGTGTCACTGACATTACTGGCATGTGTCTAAAAAGAGCCACTTGACAATAATGATGATCATGGTTACACATAGGCTGTTAATATATTTGGGCCCAGGGGCCCAAAAGTTATGTGTTAAAAGTGCGTTGCATACATAGTACCCCCACCCCTACTCACCTCAGGGGCAAGGAAAAAAAGTTCAGGCTCGGGAATTTTTTCCACTATCAGCCCTGCATCAGTCAGGGTGTCAGTATTAAGACTTCATGTATTCAGAATCACATAGGATCTCTCTCTTTTGAGTACAATATGGTAGAAGTACACTACTACAGTACTGTATGTGATTATATACATATTCAGTCATTTATTAAAAAAATATTTTTTCTACATGATGAAATATGCTGAAATGCAGTCTAGTTAATTCAAAGTAGTGTTTGTTGGGTCTTTTATCTGTTTTTTCTTATTTTCCAAATCTGAATCTGTCCTGATCTGGTTTCTCTTGCTGTAGATTGTTCGAGCTAGATAGATTGTTATGCTTGTCCTGATGTTGAAGTGTATGATTATGTTGCTTGTGTTGCTGAAGAGTCTGTCTGTAATCGCCTCTCACCGAGGAAATGTAAATTCTTTAAATGGACAAAGTCGTCCTTTTAAAAGACTTTCATCGCTATTCTTGCATGCTAATCAGGAACTTTCACCACTCAACTATACTACTTGAAGGGTCAACTTTACAAAGTGGGGTTTAATACCTCAGTTTACTCAACTTGTTCTTAGCTGAAGCTGTTCCAGTGCAATACATAAAACACGACCACTAGGTGTCACTGTAGAGATGGGTTTTGAAATGATTCGAAGCTTCGACTGTTTCAGTGTTTCATGAAGCTTCGCTTTGCCCACCACTAGAAGAGAGCACAATAGAGTGGAGGAACTATGACGTCACTTTGTAGGCTAATCGGCTGCTAGCATAAAACTGGTTCTCTCGTCCCATAGGCTTTTCGAAGATTGCAAATAATAAGCTCTGTGTTCAAACACTGTTCATTACACTTACACGTTTTGTCCAGCCGGATAATCCTCACACGAAAATACAACTTTGAGCACTTTTGGATCTTAAATACAAACGCAAGAGTTTAAAAGCTAACATTAGGCTATAAACGGACTACAGTGTCCTCGGGGCGCTCGTCTGTGACATCAGCCCCACCCAGCTACAGACAACTTTTCACGCTTATTTTTAGAAATAATGTCCATGACAAAGAGTTAATCTCTCTGTTTATTTTATTATAATCCACGCTATATACTATAAACAAATAAATACGCAAAAACACATAGACATATGTGCCTTTTGGACCGTTTTTACGTGGGAAATACATTTGTTTTGCTTTGCGGTTGTTATAAAAGTTTAAAAAATGCGTGTATAAATCTGCCTACAATAGTATTATCATCAGACATATTTTAATAAGTGTATCGCTCGCAAGCACACAGCCTGCTTACCTTAACAGACGACAGAAATGAGGCGTGAGGAACAAGTCTATCAAATGCATGCTAGTTCTATCATGGACACAGAGCAACATTCAATATTCCTTTTTTGTCACGACGTACAGCGAAAAGTAGCTCATACAGTCACATCTGCTATACGTTTTATGGAGGAGTGTAAATTAAATATTGCAGTAATAACAGAGTTATGTGTTCAGATGAAGAAAAAAGACAAAAAATCACTTGATCACAGAAAAATGACAGTTAACATGCATGTATTTTTACACATTTATTCACATGTTTGCATTACTGAAAGTAGGAAAGAGACATGCTGCACTGATAAGCATCTTCATAATATCGTTTAATTAAAATAAACGATCAACAATTGAATCTGTCTCGACAGACTTTACAAATGACAAACTATACAACAAACTATAAAATACTATTCATGAAAATACCTAAATAACAGACAAATCCGTATCCCCAACACAAGCGAGCTGCTCTCCACACCAGATCAGCTCGATGACGTTTAATGTCTCAGACACCGCCTGTAGTCCCATTTAGCAACTTGATAGCAACCGTCTTTTTAAAGAAGCATGGCCGAATAAAAATTCAAGAGTGTGCTGTAACTGATGTGTTTTATGTCGTAGAACAAAACGTAAAGTTTCTTGAATTTGTGTTTGCCATGGACCTTATTTAAGCGATTTTACTGAAACCCCATACAAAAAACCCATTGACTTTGGGACGAGGGAACCGGAAGTGCTAAAATGCTAACTCGCTTCTGGGTTTTTGCGTACAAATTGACGTCATAGTTTCTCCACTCTATTCACCTTATTCTCCGCCGACGAGCGGGCGCTCATAGATAAATACATTAGATGTTGCCTGGCCTATTGTTGTCTATTGGACGGAATGTGTCAATAGCGCCGCCATCTTGGTACAGGGTAGTGCTCCTTTGAAATTAATGCGGGACCAAGGTACAGTGGAGGACTGTGGCCATCCAAAGCCAGAGATATACACATATATCTATGATCGGGAGTTTTCCTGGATGTTAGTTTGTAATTTTTTTTCTAATTACGAAAATTATCATTTTACATCACTTTTCTACATTGCTGAATCAGTGATCGCACTGGCATTCCTGACAAAAAGCTTGTGTTTGTGTGTACAGAAATGTACTATCCACCCTTCCTGTTAAATTTGATCTAATCATGTCCTGAAACACACCTCCTCTCCTGCTTTCACTTCTCATACTGACGGAGGGAGCGATTCGTTTGTGAATGAATCCCCTGAACGACTCTTTCGCTAGCCGACAATAATACAAGTTTCTGGCTCCGCAGCATCTCGTTGTCATATTTCTTTTGCATTGTTTGCTGATTTTATTCAACAAAACTAGCATAAGCTGAGTGTTTAGTGCGAGTTGGAGCTGCTTTGCCTTATGGTGAATGCAGTAAGTGACTGTTATCATCAATAACACTACCTGTTTAGCACAACAGTTCAGAATATACAAAAACAGAAAAAAAACTTGATATTAGCTATGAAATGTTCTGCCTTTGTGCTTTGTTTTCTTTGTTTGCTCGTTACTACACCCGTAGACAGGGCTAAAGTCCCGCATCTTCACGTAATAACACTGTCTTGACTAGTGCGGTTGAATGACATTTGTCCTGGGAGCACTGTACCAATGTGGCGGCACTATTGGCGCATGCTCAGGGTCCCTATGCGATATCTAGTGTATATATCTATGGCGGGCGCTGCCATTTGAATCTTTTTGGCCCGAGACTTCCGGTCTCATTCACCTCCATTAATTTTTTGACGTTAAAAACTGCTCATTACGCTGCTTGGTGTTGCAATTTGATATTTTCTTATTATATTATTCTACTTGTCTTGGTCTGTATAGTCATGCAAACATTTATTTGTAGAACAAGCAGTTTGACCATTTTCTGCCGTTTATTATTCCTAGTCATTTCTCCCATAGGCGACTGAATCGGAAGTTCTAAGACAATCGCGATAACAGGCGCACTTCCGCATTTTAGAATAAGGTCAATAGAAAGAGAGGGAAGTATAAGAGGACCAGGTGGAGACACGTATACTAACAAGGACTAGATGAGGACTAAACAAGGGGGTGTGGTAAAGGAAGAAGTAATGGAGGAACACATAGCAGACACAAACAAACACTAAGCCCATGTCCACACATGTACAGGTATTTTTATAAACAGAGTTTTCCCCACTTTCATTTTTTAAAAATAACAATGAAAACATCAAAACGCACTGTGATGTATGTTAAGGGAATGCCAAACCAACAGGCAGCGATAATCACAGATGGGAAGTTTAGTATTTTTATGAGTGAATTGCATACAAGTCAATGCAAATATGAGAATAGAGATGGATTACTGTCCCGCGATGCAAGTGACTGAATATGAAACGCGTTTGCTGCAAACATGCAGAATTGACGTTTGGTGTGAACTTAACAGTGTTGGCCAATAAGAAATGAGAAAACAGTGCACACGCTGACGTCATGAGGCAAAAACTCTGCTTGTAGTGTCCACACAGCCATACTGTGCTCAGAGTTTCTGAAAATCTTCCCCCTGGCCGGAGTTTCCAGAAAGTTTCAGTAACTCGATTCTCTGTTTTCGTGTGGAGAAACAGCAAAACCATGTAGACCAATTTTGGTTTTGAAAAAACCCGTGTTCATTTAGGAAATATAAAAACAAAGACAACACAGACATGGTGGACAAGGCAGGGGACAGAACTTAATTCTCAGTCACTGCATTTATGAACATCAGCGGGGCAAAAGTTAACATGAAAACTCACAGGAAGTGAATTCTAGTTTTCTTGTCTTCATGTAAGTTTGTGTTTGTGTGGATGTTCAGCTGCTCAGGACCTGTTACTCCCGCTGGTTTCCCTCCAGAAGGCCTCGGGCTGCTGGGAACTGGACGCCGCATTGGCTGCTGTTTTGGGGAAGACAGAGGATGAGCTGACCAATCAGAAACCAGCACAGGTGAGACATGTGACAAAACAACAGCAACCCCAGTGCTGATGGTGTTCAGGGTCCAGCTTCAGATGATGGTTTGTGCACAGGTGGATGGGTCAGTGTGGGCCACTCTCCTGGCTCTGATCTGGTTGTACAGCTGGAGAAAAGAGCAGCAGGTGGAGTGGCAGTTTGTGGCCAGGAAGGCAGCGGCGTGGATCACCTCTCAGAAAGGTCAGATCTCCATTCTAGAGCACATTCATTCAGAGATGATGGAGAGAATCATGTTAAAATCGTGTGTGTGTGTGTGTGTGTGTGTGTGTGTGTGTGTGTTTCAGTGGGCGATCTGTCTCAGTGTGTGTGTGTGGGTAATGTCCTGCTCGGATGTCAGGTCACCAAAGACTCTCTGGGGATCTGAAGATATCAGAAGACCAAAGAACAGACGCCATTACATTTATAGTTAATCTCTTACTTGCTTCAGAAACATTTAATCTTTGATTTTATTTGCTCAAATCAACACCAAATACGAAATGAACCTGACCTCCACCATCATTAAATGAAACCTCTCCAACCTGTTTCTACACAACAGCTATGTATCTTCATTTCTCGGTTCATCTATTGAATATTAAGAGACAATGTATTATAATTAATGACTTATTTTACAAAAAGACAATCATTTTGAGGAATAAAAAAGAGCTTCGGCCTCAGATAAGCTTATGAAACTGATGCTAAAATAACAAACCTAATAACAGACCCGTTCACACCAAGCATGATAATGACCGTTAAGCCCTCTTTTATACGATTATTTAAAGATAATCACTATCTAACAATTGCTTATACCATGGAAAATGATGATTAATACACAACTCCAGGCCAACAAATTGAAATACAAGAATAAAAGTAGCTCAGTTATCCAGATTCAGCATCTTTGTGTTTCCTCATGTTGTTTTTATTCCACTAAACTGACGACTACAGGAAAAGCCGAGACCAGCACATTTGGCGTCGTCCTTTATTTTTGTCTGTCATGAAAACAGAGTAAAGGCCTGTTCATACCAAACATGATAACTATATATATGAGTATAATGGTGAATATATTTGAGTTGTGAAGTCTGATTGGTCTGATGACATTAATTATATGAGACACAAAAAATCACTGATGTATTCTGATATTCGTAAAAGCACAACTTTTAATAATGAGAAAGGAAAGGGGCCGAACTAACAAATCAGCTGGAGGAACTTTGGATGACCTCACTGCTCAGCTTACTCACATGACTCTCAGTGCATTAATGTGTAGGCACGCTGTGCATGCTGATGGTAAAACTGCAGGGTTCCCACAGGTGCTGGAATTCCTGGAAAATGCTTGATTTTTAATATAGTGTTTTCAAGGTTAGAAAAGTGCTTGGATTTTGGACAAAGTGCTTGAACCTGCTTGAATTTGAAATTGCAGGGCTAAAAATTGTGACCGTTTTGGTTGCATATGCTCATAAAATGTTATCTATGTGACCTCAAAATATATTTGGGGCGTAAGTGCGAGTGCATAAATTGTTGCCGTGCGACCAGTTTTCATTGCAAAATGTTTCTCTCATGTGCGTGTTTATGGAGCTAATGATATGCCAAAACAATCTGAATTTGAATTGTGTTCATTTGAATGATTAATTGTAAGCTAATTAAACTGATTTTATGCTATTAAAAATGTTTTGAATTTGAATTTCTTAACCTGATTATTGAACATCTGAAATTTAGGACAACTGAATTATTTTAAGTCAGACTTTTATGGACATGTTTTTAAAATTTTAAACATGTTTTTTTTTTGGGGTTTTGAATTTATAGACTGCAGATATTGGGTATGTAAAAATACAGTTTTTAGTTTTCAAGATAAAGAAAATCAGGGGTCATCAACAGGGAAGAGTAGATGATGACTAAAAACTGGAGTGCACATTGAATTCATTTTCCAGAAACTCATCAAGTTACCTTGTGTGGTAAAGTATGAATTCTAATTTATTTCTTGAGCAAAATCTTATAAAGATGATCCTTTAACTAAACTTTAGCTAAGAAATATGGCATAGGGAGGATCCTGGTGTATCTTTGTTTAATTAGGGTTTATTTTTAGTTTATGCTTTACTTTACCCCTTTGTATCCAGCAGATGTCCTTAGTGGGCTGTGAATTTTTATTTTAAAATTTATTAATCTAATTTTATGATTAAATACTGGATGTGTATGGATTATTTGACTATTGTTCAAAGTGATTTGATTCAGATTTTTTTTAATTAAAAAAGAGGATTGGAGGATTTGCAGACCATAATTTGATACGCAGTCATCGCATGCAGAATTAAGGTGCATATAATAATGTTTTCCAGTCATTTAAATGAAACAAATCACATACAAAACCATTTATATTCTGTGTTTTTGCTGTTTTGAAAAGTAAAATAGTTTGATTGGAATCTGTCAGTGATTTTTACAGCAAGAAATTTTGTTTTAAGAGGGACAAATATCTGAAGTGACTCTATTTACAGCAGTTTCCAGTATATGTTGTTACATTACATTTATAATAGCAGTCAACAGTTTTTCTGTATTAAATTTAGAGGGAATGAGAGCTGCTGCTTCTGTATGTCCTCTATTGTCGAGTCAGGTCTTTATAATAAACCTATTCAGGTTGTAATAGTTTGTTTAGGTTAAAAACTCTCGATAGAATATTATAGGAGGTAGTGAAGAGTTGCTCACTTTATCAAACTGCTGTTAGATTTTAACTGGCTAATATTGAACAATAAAGTCGGTTACATAAAAACACCACTATACGAAAACAAACACTACACGAGAGCTCATTTTATCAGTTTAGATGTGATGTTAGTCGTGTTTTGACTTTCACTTTCGATCTGAACTAAATCTCAAACAATTTTGAGGGAGAAAAAGCAGCCAAGTAAAAATCACTTGTTTCCTGTTGCAGATTATGAGGAAGGTTTAACTGAACCTCCACTTTAATTAAAGAAAAATCTGCCGTACATTTATAAACTCGAATATTATTTTGGCATCAAGATTGGTGTGAGGCACATCCGGGTACGCCGCATCTAGTTGACGTAATTAATATTCATGAGGCAAGTCTGCGCTAGTGTTTAAAAAGCACGCAGGTATCGTCAGACAGGCAGTTAATAACGGTCTTCTGAATGAGGTGTTTCGACAACTTGTGAAATCAACTCATCTCCTGCCTACATATTTCCATCTGAAACTCTCTGAAACACTGGTTTACTCATTAAATAAGTCGGTCTGTAAAGATTTGAGTCAGATTAAAAGCAATATTGTAAGGTCAGGAATTTTAAATAGGTCAAGCTCGTCAGTTCCTCAAACAGCGTGAGAATGGTGAACTGCGGTCTTCTGACAGGGTTGAATGAGCCAGGTATGAATTCACATATACTTTCTTTCACTGTAATCGAGTTTTAAATAAATTAATCTCTTTTTTAATAAGTGTAGTTAACGTTAAGCTGTTTCCACAAGTATGTTTGCTGCGACGGCTTTATATTACACTGTAATAAACGTTAGAATTTATATTTATTTCTATGTTTACACTTGGTGGTTGATTAAGTTTTAGGATATTTAGATTATTAGTCAAAAATTATTATATTTTGTCCAATAAAGAGTTGTATGGGCTCTGTTGGATTGGTGTTGTTCTGCGATATTTATTATTTTCATTTGCTGTAATAGTGATGTAATTCAGCTGTATTTATGATGTTATTCAGCTGTATTTGTGATGTTTTGCTGTATTTATGATGTTGTTTTGCTGTATTTGTGTCAGTTCCTCTGAAGAGCATCTCAGTGGAGGTTCGGGTTCAGGATCATGTCGCCTCAGTCTCCTCCACTCTGCAGTATGTGAATGAGGAGCAGCGCCCCCTGGAGGCCTTGTTCGTCTTCCCTCTGCCTGCTGATGCTGCTGTCTGCCACTTCAGTGCCAAGATCGGAGAGCAGGAGATTGTGGCAGAACTGCAAGACAAGGAGACAGTGAGTCCAGATATAAACTTGTAGGATGCTGCTTTGCATATATTTGTATTGTGTGTCTCAAACTAAACTGTGTGTTGCAGGCGAAGGATCAGTATGATGATGCTGTGAGTTCAGGACAGCAGGCGTTTCTGTTGGAAGAGAGCGCAGAGAGTCCTGATGTGTTCAGACTGAGTGTCGGGTGTCTGTCGCCGGGTCAGAACGCTGCCGTCACCATCATCTACATTACTGAGCTCGCTGTGCAGGCCGACCAATCACTGCGCTTCTGTCTGCCGGCTGTTCTCAACCCCAGATACACACCAGCAGGTACTACAGCAGCAGTGGACACACACTTTATTAGCAGAGAGAAGTGTGTGTGACTGTGTATGTGTGTGTGTGTGTGTGTGTGTGTGTGTGTGTGTGTGTGTGTGTGTGTGTGTGTGTGTGTGTGTGTGTGTGTGTCAGGTTCAGATGCTGGTATAGTGTCAGAGATTTCATCAGTATGTGGAGCAGTTCCCTACTCTCTGACTCTCAGTGTCCACGTGAGCTCTCCAAAACCCATCTCCAAACTAGAGTCCAACTGCACTCTGGATCCTCTCGTGTTCCTCTGCTCTGACCACACTCAGGCTACGGTACTGTGTGTCTTGATGTGTTTATGTGGATGTGTGAACGGTGCAGGTTTATCCTTGTGTCTTTATTATGTGTGTAGGTGAATCTGAGTCCTGGTCACATGTTTGATAGGGATGTTGAGCTGTTCCTGTACTATCAGGACACCCATCAGCCCTCTGCTGTAGTGGAGGCAGGAGTGGCCACTGCACCGTCAGGTAAGAGCTGCACAGAAATCTGGAATTATGGGATTGTGTGGTAAAGTTTTTACTGATTTATTCTCTTGTTTCAGGCTCTCTAATGAGAAACCCTGTGGTCATGATTACTTTGTATCCTGAGTTCCCAGAGGAAGTGATGTCATCAATGGCAACTCAAGGCGAGTTTGTTTTTGTGATGGACAGATCAGGCAGTATGGACGGCATGATGCATCGTGGAAAAGAAGCACAGCACCGCATTGAAAGTGCAAAGGTAAGATTTAAAGATTCACTTTTGTATTTAGATGAGACACTTAAATTTCTGTTCACGTCTCTCTGCAGGACACTCTGCTCTTACTGTTGAAGAGTCTGCCCATGGGATGCTACTTCAACATCTATGGATTTGGATCTGAGTTTGAGTCTTTCTTCCCGTTAGTTACTGCATTTAAAAAATCAAACTATAAATAACTTTAGTTTTAATGAGTGAGAGGTGAGAAGGTGACTTTGTGTTTCTGTCTTTGCAGTAAAAGTGTTGAGTACAGTCAGGACACAATGGATCAGGCTCTTAAAAGAGTCATGGAAATGCGAGCAGACATGTGCGGCACAGAGATTTTACAGCCTCTAACACACATCTACAGTCAGCCCTGCATCCCTGAACACCCCAGACAGGTTCAACACCTCAACTACTCATTGATATTGGTGTTAAAGTATAAACATGACTTGTGAATCTGATGTTTTTCTGTCTTCAGCTGTTCATCTTCACTGATGGAGAAGTAGGAAACACTAAAGAGGTGCTGGATCTGGTGAAAAGTCATGCTCACTCTCACAGGTAAAGTTCTGCTGGTTTTGATCATTCAGATCTTCATGGCTAACAGTAACAGTGTTTCTTGTGTCTGCAGGTGTTTCTCATTCGGAATTGGTGAAGGTGCGAGCACCGCCCTCATCACAGGATTGGCCAGAGAGGGTTCAGGTCATGCTCAGTTCATCACAGGCAGAGAGCGCATGCAGCCCAAAGTAAAGCTCTCCACTGGACTTCACAGACACAGATGATTCCTAGTCACATGACTCAATGTCTCTTTCTCGTCTAACTGTATCAGGCGATGGAGTCCCTCAGGTTTGCTCTTCAGCCCGCTGTGTCTAATATCTCTGTGGATTGGACACTTCCAGAAGGTGTTACTGCTGAAACAGTTTCTCCACCCATTGATGTGCTCTTCCAGGGTCAAAGGACTCTCATTTATGCCCAACTTAAAGGAAAGGTGAGATGATTTATCGTACTTTAGTGTCCCTCATTTGTTTAGATTGTAAAAACTATCTTTGATTGTAAATAACTCTGCAGAGTTTAGGAGGCTCTGAGGGATCAGTGACAGTCAAATACAACCTGAACAGTCAACCAGTGTCAAACCAGCTGCACTTCTGCATCAAACCAACTGAGGAAACAGGGTAAACACTTAGAATCACATTGAATTCAGTGACATCTATTGTTGGCTTTTCTAAATCAGCAAATTCTACTTCTGTTTCTGCAGGTTGGTCGTCCACCGGCTGGCAGCTCGAACCATAATCCGTTCTCTAGAGCAAAAGGAGAGATCTAGTGCTGAAAGTAAGAGTCTCAGGAGCTCAATAGTGGAGCTCAGTGTTCAGGCAGGAGTGAGCAGTGTTCATACAGCCTTCATTGGCATTAATAAAGACACCAAACAGACTGTGAAAGGACCCCTGCAGCGGAGAAGAGTGCCGACATACGGTTAGTGCTGTGCTAGTGACTATAGTAGTGTATATGAGCTGAATTTTCATTTTACAGTGTTTCCCACACATAGACTTTACTTGGGATGGCCGCTCAGGTATCTTAATGTCTGCCCAAGTACAGTATATCTGATGACAGTTTTTTTTTTTAACCAATATTATCAACCTTTTACACTTTATTTCATATCTGCCCAACATCCGCGTTCGATTAAACAGTGGAAAATCTTCTCTCACCGTACACATTTCGTACTGCTCATTGCGTGTGCGCGAGAACTGTCAACAACACTTTCTCAGACAGTCTTGCGTGCTCTGCAGAGACCCACAGAGATGCGCCTTTTTGAGGCTTAAAAATGTGTCCAGCAACTCCGGCCGGTGTTTTTAAATCTCCTAAAATGTCCTGGAGTCAACTTTTGCTTTCGCTTTCAAAAAGTTGTGGCATTTTTTGCATTACTCTTTTATTAAAGACTACTTTCTTTCTGACTTCACATCTGACAGCAAGCACAGGACAGAGAGAAAAAGTAAATAATAAATACTCAAAGAGGACGAAATGACATCTAAACTGGCTGCGTGTATGTGTACGCCATTAGAAATGGTCAGTCAAGTCATTTGCCTTATTTAATAATAATTATTAAAAAAAATTCATTTTAGAGGTGACACAGTGGCGCAGTAGGTAGTGCTGTCGCCTCACAGCAAGAAGGTCAATGGTTCGAGCCTCGGCTGGGTCAATTGGGGTTTCTGTGTGGAGTTTGCATGTTCTCCGTGTTTGCGTGGGTTTCCTCTGGGCGCTCATTGTCGAGATATTGTCTGTTTTTATTAATTTTTTTCTATAATTTCTTTCTCAATTAAATGCTTTGGCAATGCTGCACTAAATGTCATGCCAAATAAAACAACCTGAACTTGAGAAAGAGAAAAACTGTGTGCACATGGCTCCTAAATAGCCTCTATTTTTTATTTCAACAGCCTTTTAAAAACTTTAACTCTTTGAAAAGAAACCGTGTATAACAGTGTCATAATAAATAAAAGTATTGTTTCAAACCTGTGGGAAGCACTGTTTACTATATATGGATTATGACAAAAATGTACAATATTGTTTCTTCAGGTCTAAAAGAATTTAAAAAAATTAAATGTGCATCAAAACTGCTTGTGCCTTCATACCAGTCCATCTCTTTAACAGATTATTTTGAAGACCTAAAATGTGCACGTTTTTTGCCACCACGAGGTAAATGCCACCTTAGTGTGATAGTTTTATGAAATATGATTACAGTTTTCATGGTGTTTCATGTTTATTCTATTTGTAAGATTTATAAAATATAAATAGTCTGTAGGCCTATTTGATTGTAAAGATTTCTCTATTGTAATAGTTTCTGCTAACGTACTGTAAGTTATAAGCTGAGTTTTCATTTTATGTGTGTGTTTTAATATGGGTATGCATAAAATGATTGTTTTGTGAGTCGGCTGTAAGTCTTTTAATTCCAGTACAAAAACACACAGGAATAGTGTCTAAATATTCTGATCCATCCAATCTGACAAATTTAGAAATATGTCGAATATGTAGAATATGATTTCTTCAGGTAAAAAAAGATAAGTACAATATTTAAATGTGCAGCAAAACTGCTTTTTCCTCCACACCAGTTCATCTCTTTAACAAAAGTTATTTCTTTCTTTCTTATTAATGTGTCTGATCTTGACTGTTTCTGCATTTATGTATTTGTTTTGACTGTTGGTTTTCTGCTTGCAGCAAAGCGGAGAATGCCGAAATTTCAGTTGGGAGGTAAGTGCACCTAACTCCTCAATCACATCACAAGCAACTTTGCTGCTGCCTGTCGCCCTGGGTGGCGATTTAAGTTGCTAGTGTACAGTGGCAGAGAGAACTTAAACAGTTGTTTTAGTTGTTTGGGTTGTGACCAATTTGCTGTGTGTTTCTTTAGTTGTTTGTGTTGTGACCAATTTGCAACACGTGTTCTGTCGAATTGATCAAGATCGTTTCTTTATTTGCTAGTGTTTTTTGTAAGGCAAGGCAAGTTTATTTATATAATTAATATAATAATAATTATATAATAATATATTACATAGTGCAGTGGTTCCCAACCTGGGGTCCGCGCCCCCCTAAGGGGGGCGCCAGAGTTCACAGGGGGGGCGCGGGAGAGGATAAGTATTGAGGTAGAAAAAGGCATAAAAATGGTCCACTATTATAAAGGGCTTTGCAATTAATCGAAAATCCGATTTAGATTTCGGTTTCAAACGATTATAAAAAAGCATTAATCGAGATAAATGATTATTGCATCATATTTCGCCACAGTTGTACACGTGTTGCTCTTAAAAGCGCGAAAGAGCTTATGTGTGTGTGCAGCACGATCACGCAGTCAGAAGTATGCGGCCGGTCAGCATTCACTCTCATTCGCACACTGAGACGAGCAGAGGAGCGCAGACATCTGAAGTCATCTTAACGTGAACACTTTAATGGTCAAATAGGTGTCAAAACGCGGTGTTTAGTGATTATTTACATTAACCCTCATTTGTGTAATAAACAAACGAGTTGAGAATCAAAAGACGTGAAAGAGAAACCATTAAAGATACAGCGCGCTATAATCCTTCTGCCGCCTGTTTTTATCATTATTAAACAAACATAACGAGAAAGCCTTTGCTGCTCTTGACTGAAGGACTGCTGTAGCTAAAGTGTTTTTCTTACAGTGAAGATGCTTAAAGCACAGTTTGTTTCATATTTTTATTCTATTGTATTCATTTCTCTTTCCATTGCAGGGTGGAAAATAACTGTATGTATACAGTTGAAGTCAGAATTATTAGCCCTCTTGAAAATTAGCAAACCTTTTCCTGCCCAATTTCTGTTTCATGGAAAGAATATTTTATTAACTTATTTCTGAACATAATAGTTTTGATATCTCATTTCTAATTACTGATTTCTTTTTGTCTTTGCTATAATGACAGCACATAATATTTTACTAGTTATTTTTCAAAATACAAACATTCAGATTAAAGTGCAGTTCAAAGGCTTAATTAGAGTAATAAGGCAAGTCATTATAACGGTAGTTTCTTCTGCAGACAATCAAAAATATATATTGCTTAAGGGGGCTAATAATATTGACCTTAAATTGGTTTTAAAATATTTAAACCTGTCTTTATTCTAGCTAAAATAAAACAAATAGAAGAAAAAATATTATAGGAAATATTGTTAAAATTCCTTGCTCTGTTAAACATAATTTGGGAAATATTTATAAAAAAAAAATCTCAGGAGCGCTAATAATTTTGACTTTAACTGGCAATGGTTTTGAATAATCGTGATTACAATTATGACCAAAATAATCGCGATTATGATTTTTCCCAAAATCGAGCAGCCCAAAAAATAAAAAATAATCTAAACACATGCTTAAAATTCCAACATAATAGTGAAAATAATTAAAATAAATAACTTTAAATAATTATTTAAATTTTGCTCTCTCGGGAAATCTGCTTGTCAACGTGTCGTAAAGGCAAAATCAAAACAAAAATGGCAGACAAACGTAAATGCTGTGATTCTTCAGAGGCGAAGAAAAAGATTAGACAGTATGACAAAGCCTACCTAATTTTTGGTTTCATTGAAGGCCAAGACAAGTTAAAACTGATTAATTAATATTTTCTATACATATTACTATATATTAATATTACACAAACACACACACACACACACACACACATATATATATATATATATATATATATATATATATATATATATACACACACAGTACATATGTGTGTGCGTGCGTGCGTGCATGTGTATTTATATGGTGGGGGGGCTCCAGTGTTTGTATATGTTTATGGGGGGGGCCCCAAAGAAAAAAGGTTGGGAACCACTGACATAGTGTATATAAACAAGATGCAGAAACTTGTGTGGAAACCCGCTAAGTGATGCATTGAATGCATAAGTCTTAAACAGATAAGTCTTTAATCTAGTTTTGAACTGAGAGAGTGTGTCTGAGCCTCGGACATTATCAGGAAGGCTATTCCAGAGTGTAGGAGCCATAAAGGAGAAGGCTCGACCTCCTTTACTCGACTTTGCTATTCTAGGTACTACCAGAAGCCCTGAGTTTTGAGATCTTAAAGAGCGAGTTGGATTGTAGTGAGACAGAAGGTTGGTTAGATAAACAGGAGCTAGATTATTTAGAGCTTTATAGGTGAGAAGTAATATTCAATACGAAACTTAACAGGCAGCCAGTGTAAGGAGGACAAAATTGGGGTGATATGATCATATTTTCTAGACCTGGTAAGAACTCTGGCTGCTGCATTTTGTACTAATTGAAGTTTGTTAATAGAGAATGCTGGGTAGCCAGCAAACAGAGCATTATTGTAATTCAGCCTAGAAGTCATAAATGCATGGACTAGCTTTTCTGCATCTGAGATGGATAGCACACTTCGTAACTTAGCAATATTTCTCAGATGAAAGAAGGCAGTTTTGGTGACGTGGAATATATGATTTTCAAAAGTTAAATTGCTGTCTAATATGACACCCAGATCTTTTATAGTAGAGCTAACGCTAACTTTGTATCCCTCTAAGTGTAGACTGAGTTGCGCGATCTGCTGTGTAAAGGATTTAGGCCAATAATTAATAATTATGTTTTGAGTTTAAGAGAAGAAAATTGTTGGTCATCCAGTCTTTAACTTTTAATAAAAATTATTAAAAAAAATAAATAAATAATAGATAAAAACAATATTTAAATGTGCAGCAAAACTGCTTTTTCCTCCACACCAGTTCATCTCTTTAACAAAAGTTATTTCTTTCTTTCTTATTAATGTGTCTGATCTTGACTGTTTCTGCATTTATGTATTTGTTTTGACTGTTGGTTTTCTCCTTGCAGCACTGCTGAGAATGCCGAAATTTCAGTTGGGAGGTAAGTGCACCTAACTCCTCAATCACATCACAAGCAACTTTGCTGCTGCCTGTCGCCCTGGGTGGCAATTTAAGTTGCTAGTGTACAGTGGCAGAGAGAACTTAAACAGTTGTTTTAGTTGTTTGGGTTGTGACCAATTTGCTGTGTGTTTCTTCAGTTGTTTGTGTTGTGACCAATTTGCAACATGTGTTCTGTCGAATTGATCAAGATCGTTTCTTTATTTGCTAGTGTTTTTTGTAAGGCAATGCAAGTTTATTTATATAATTAATATAATAATAATTATATAATAATATATTACATAGTGTATATAAACAAGATGCAGAAACTTGTGTGGAAACCCGCTAAGTGATGTATTGAATGCATAAGTCTTAAACAGATAAGTCTTTAATCTAGTTTTGAACTGAGAGAGTGTGTCTGAGCCTCGGACATTATCAGGAAGGCTATTCCAGAGTGTAGGAGCCATAAAGGAGAAGGCTCGACCTCCTTTACTCGACTTTGCTATTCTAGGTACTACCAGAAGCCCTGAGTTTTGAGATCTTAAAGAGCGAGTTGGATTGTAGTGAGACAGAAGGTTGGTTAGATAAACAGGAGCTAGATTATTTAGAGTTTTATAGGTGAGAAGTAATATTTTAAATTCAATACGAAACTTAACAGGCAGCCAGTGTAAGGAGGACAAAATTGGGGTGATATGATCATATTTTCTAGACCTGGTAAGAACTCTGGCTGCTGCATTTTGTACTAATTGAAGTTTGTTAATAGAGAATGCTGGGTAGCCAGCAAACAGAGCATTATAGTAATTCAGCCTAGAAGTCATAAATGCATGGACTAGCTTTTCTGCATCTGAGATGGATAGCATACTTTGTAACTTAGCAATATTTCTCAGATGAAAGAAGGCAGTTTTGGTGACGTGGGATATATGATTTTCAAAAGTTAAATTGCTGTCTAATATGACACCCAGATCTTTTATAGTAGAGCTAACGCTAACTTTGTATCCCTCTAATTGTAGACTGAGTTGCGCGATCTGCTATGTAAAGGATTTAGGCCAATAATTAATAATTATGTTTTGAGTTTAAGAGAAGAAAATTGTTGGTCATCCAGTCTTTAACTTTTAATAAAAATTATTTAAAAAAAAAATAAAATAGATAAATACAATATTTAAATGTGCAGCAAAACTGATTGTGCCTTCACTACAGTTCATCTCTTTAACAAAAGTTATTTCTTTCATCCTATTAATGTGTCTGATCTTGACTGTTTCTGCATTTATGAATTTGTTTTGACTGCTGGTTTTCTGCTTGCAGCACTGCTGAGAATGCCGAAATTTCAGTTTGGAGGTAAGTGCACCTAACTCCTCATTCACACCACAAGCAACTTCTCAACTGCTCCTCCTCGTCCGGGGCCTCCGCTCCGCCAACGCAACGCTGTGAGCTAAGCGGACAAACTGATTGCATTGGGAAAGCCCTCCACTCGGAGGCGAGCCGTCGGCCGGCTAGCGCGAAGAGAAAGGGCGAAGCGGCGCCACACCGCCCCGCAGCGTTCGCTCGAAAAAAAACAAATGCGGCCTTTACGTACCTCCGGCCACGTAAATCGCGGTCTCCAGAAACGTCCGCGGGGCTACGTTTCCAGAATGAGCTTGGGTTGGATAGTCATGTTGAATATGGAATGTTTAAAACAATGTTGATTATTTTCATGGTTTATCAAAAAATAAGTTCGATTATTTATGGATTTATGCATCTTCGCTAAACCACACAATTACTACAGTACATCTACTCCTGAGAATTCAGAATGGCTGCGTCCGAAACCTCCTACTACTCAGTAGGTACTGCATTTGAATTTAAACGGACTACTCGGCCGTTAGAAAAGTACGTTCTATACAGTATGAATGTGAAAAGTATGAATGGAATTCGGACGTACTACATCCGCCAATTTGTCATGGTCACGTGACCTACCTGCGTCAGTTGCGTCGCCTCACTTCCATTCATGAATTCTCTCACGGGGCATTATAGGATAGCGCAGCGTGCATGGGCTGCGCACTTCAGAATCTCGCCGGAAGTAGTAAGTCATCCGGGTACTTCTCGCCTACTGATTTTCGAATTCTATGAATTCGGACATACTACTCGGCTCGCATACTGATTTTAGCGTACTATATAGTATGGAAGTATGCGGTTTCAGACGCAGCCAATGAGTGAAAAAACATTGACATAAGAAGGTCTCTTGTGTTTAAGACAACAACAAAACAAAGTAGATTTTTGAAAGTATTTTAATTGACACCACACACCTCAGCTCCTAAAACCTCTTAGTACTGTTGTTTGTGTGTTTCTGTCTGTCAGTATTAACCTTGATACTGAAACAGAGAAAGTCTATGCACGTTTGATTTGTTTTTTTGTGCAGGAGCAGCTGATTGGGAACCTCTTAAGTAAGGCAATTTGTCCACACCGATTGACATATTTCAGTGTTGTGTTTAGGGCTGAACGATTTACTGATATTTAAATGAAATTGTGATTTAGAATGTTGCAATTAGCTAATTGAAAAGGCTGTGATATGATTCCAGTGTAAATATATAAACAATATATATAAATATATAATCTACTCTGTTTGAGAGCAAATGCATGACCGTCCTCTTTGTGTGACGTATTTAGTAACCAATAACGCAGTTATATCAGTGGATTTACAGCAGATCTGATTCCTGCCTGTTGACTGAAGCGCGTTGTGTTTTACTGATGCATTCAAATGCATCTCACAGAGGAAAAACTGACTGACACACTACATGAAAAACAAACTCTTTGTTGTGTAATAATAAAGTTTCATAAAAGTCGTTTACATGGCTGCACGAGCAGTTATCTAGATTATTTAAACTGAACTCAGACTAGTCAATCTTCAACTTACTGTTATGGAACCAATTTAAGCGTGGCATTTAGTTCGGCTCATTGAAGTCCGGTTTTTGACTTTAATCCCCACTTTTCTAAACAAATTTTCTGCTTTAGATATTTTCCCAGCCCTACAGTGTGTGTGTGTGTGTGTGTGTGTGTGTGTGTGTGTGTGTGTGTGTGTATATGTATGTGTGTGTACGTGTTTTTGTGACATATCAGGACACAGATCTGTATAATGACATAGGTATGACACAGTTATTACAAAAAGGAGGTGAAATATGAGGACATTGGTGACGTCCTCATTTTTCAAAATGCTTATAAATCCTACAGGATGAGTTTAATCAGAAAGTTGCTTCAGAAAGCTGCACACAGTCTCCTGTGATGGTTGGGTTTAGGGGTGGGGTGGGGTGAGGGCAATATAATATACGGTTTGGACAGTGTAAAATTAATGGAAACCTGTGTGTGTGTGTTTGAAAGTTAAATATAAAATTCAGTGTAAAACAACTGGAAATCATCTCATAGTTAATGATTGTTGTTGTCATTTGCAGATGTTCTTCATGGAACAGGGCAGCTCCTCGCTGGGGTATATTCACACACACCACCCACACTTGAATTTGTTTTTTACTTGCTGTAGTTTATTGTGGCATAACAGCGTATATTATATTATATTATATTATATTATATTATATTACATTATATTATATTATATTATATTATATTATATTATATTATATTATATTATATTAGCTTACAAAATAATGTATTTGGATTTAACGGTGCTGTTTAAATGCTCTGAATGTGTCTGTTTGCATGTGTGTTTTGCATTTGGAGCTTTAAATGCTTCTCTTGTCATTCTCAGTGCAGTTCAGCTGTTGAATTGACCTCATTAAGATATACCTCATTAGGATGTGGTGGGTTGTTCTCAGTATATCTCAGTATATTCTGCAAGACTTATTGTGGGTTTTGTGGCTTAAGGACTAATGCTTTCTTGTCAAATGCTTCACTCATCTTGTTCTTCATACTAAATTCAAATGTTTTTTCAACTTTATATATAGGAAGCATCCGGACACAAGAACATGGTAAGGCAAACAGCAGATCAGATTTTTCTGACATTTATTGGCTTGGTAGTGTGTAAGTAATTGATTTTACTTCTTACTATTAGATGAATTCTCATTAAGATGCAAAAAACCTTATTTCCAAATGGTGGGTAAATAAGAGCTAAAAGGGCATCCGCTGCGTAAAACGTGCTGGATCAGTTGGCGGTTCATTCCGCTGTGGCGACCCCAGATTAATAAAGGGACTAAGCTGAAAATAAAATAAAATCTCATTTGTTTTTGTTCTTTTGAATGTGTCTGATGTTGGCAGATGAGGAAAGGTCTGATAGCAGAAAACTTTCTTCGCAAAAGCAAAGTAAGTGTGATAGTTTTGTCAAGTTTGGAATGTTTAAAATGATGGTTGTTTTCATGCTAAAAAAATTGGTACAATTATTTATGGATTTACCTTCCTCACCTAACCACGCAATTAAGTAGTTGGTATTATTGCCTAATAGCACGAAGGTCACTGGTTCAAGTCCCAGCTTGACCAGGAGGCCGTTCTGTGAGGGGTTTGCATGATCTCCCTATGTTCACATGCTCTGGTTTCCCCTAGGAACCAAAGACATGCAATATAGGTGAATTGGGGTAAGTAAATTGGCTGTAGTGAATGAATGTGTGTGTGTGAATGAGAGAGTGTATGGGTGTTTCCCTGCACTGGGATGCAGTTGGAATGGCATCCGCTGTGTAAAACATATGCCAGAGTAATTGGTAGTTAATTCTGCTGTGGCTGCCACTGATCAATTCGAACGTGGATAAACTGAATTGCCCATAAGGAGAGTGTGTGGGAGTTTCTAAACACTGAGGGTTGTACTCTTAGTGCTGGGTTGTGGCTGGAACATACCTGCCACCCTTCTGTTTCGTTATTTCTCCAGAAAACCTGTATTCTGACATCCAGAAACATGCAGAATTCGCCTCATTCATGTCTTCCGCGTTTGATGTGAACCCAGCAGCGTAGACCAATCAGAAAGGAGAAAACAGAGCACACGCTGAAGTAATGAGGTGAAAAATTGGAGTGCCCGCAGTTTTGGAAAATTTCCACCCTGACCAGAGTTTCCAGAAAGTTTCAGTCACTCAATTCTCTGTTTTCACGTGGACAAACAGCAAAACCATGTAGAGCAATTGTGGTTTTGAAAATACCCGTGTTCATGTGGACAGGGTCTGAACCATGTGCTCAAACATCGAAACATGAAACAAAGTCAACACAGATCTGGTAGACAAGGCAGGGGGCGCTTACAGAACTTGATTCTCAGTCACTGCATTTATGAACATCAGCGGGGCAAAAGTTAACAAGAAAACTCTCTGGAAGTGATTTCTAGTTTCCCTGTTTTCATGTTAGTTTGTGTTTGTGTGGATGTTCAGCTGCTCCTGAGCCTCCCCAGGACATGTTACTCCCGCTGGTTTCCCTCCAGAAGGCCTCGGGCTGCTGGGAACTGGACGCCGCATTGGCTGCTGTGTTTGGGAAGACAGAGGATGAGCTGACCAATCAGAAACCAGCACAGGTGAGACATGTGACAAAACAACAACAACCCAGTGATGATGGTGTTCAGGGTCCAGCTTCAGATGATGGTTTGTGCACAGGTGGATGGGTCAATGTGGGCCACTATCCTGGCTCTGATCTGGTTGTACAGCTGGAGAAAAGAGCAGCAGGTGGAGTGGCAGTTTGTGGCCCAAAAGGCAGCGGCATGGATCGCTTCTGAGAAAGGTCAGATCTCTTTTCTAGAGCACATTCATTCAGAGATGATGGAGAAAATCATGTTAAAATCGTGTGTGTGTGTGTTTCAGTGGGCGATCTGTCTCAGTGTGTGTGTGTGGGTAATGTCCTGCTCGGATGTCAGGTCACCAAAGACTCTCTGGGGATCTGAAGATATCAGAAGACCAAAGAACAGACGCAAACATCAACAGCTCAGCAACTCTCGGCACAACAAAAAACTTCAACTGTAAAACAACCACTTTTTAATTTCCCTTTTAAAAACACTCTTAATTTGAATCTCTTTAAAAATAGTGGGCAAAACATTCCAAGCAGCAGAGCTCGTACACAAGAAAGAATTTCTACCTGATTCGCTCTTAACTCTATACGGGTAAATATCCCTGCTACTTGCTCTTGTAGAATGACAGTGCTCCTCACTAACTAAAACATAATAATTAAGAAAATATTTGAGACCATTTTCTTTTAAAATCTTAAAAACCATCACTAATTTTAAAAATGTTACCATTTTATCAACTTTTAAAAAATTACTTAGACTATAATGTTCATTATTTAAATGTGTCAGTGGAGGTGCTTTTATAATGATTCTACACAACTTATTTTGGGTCGTCTGCAATTTATTTTAAATTTTTTTTGAACTACCGCTGTACCAAAAAGCTGCAGCATAGTCAAAGTATGGCTGCACTAATGCACTAGCTAAAACATTAAGAGTTTGGGTATCTAGGAGCTCTGCCTGTCTTGCTAAAAACTTCATTCTAGAACAAATTTTTGAAAGGACTATAACAGCCATCTTTTCACCTGTCAAATTACTGTCTAAAGTGCAACCAAAGTATTTCACTACCTGTTTTGGAGTAATAATTTGATCCCCTACTTTTATCTTTGCCCCAACACATTTTCTTAATTTCGCAGCTGAACCAAATAAAATAAATTCAGTTTTACCCAAATGTAAGGACAATATATTAAGACAAAACCATTTAGAGACTTCCTCAATTTGTTCACTTACCTCCACCATCATTAGGCATTTTAGGTTCCAAAGTAAAAAAAAAACCAACAACAACAACTATCCACTCTTTTTTTGTGCTGCTCATGATGCTTTGTGTGAATTACAGGAGTAATTGTGGAACTTTTAAATTTTAGGTAAATGATGTCTTTATTTTCAGTTCATCCATTGAATATTAAAAGACAGTTAGCAAATTGGGCGAGGCAGTGGTGCAGTGGGTAGCACGTTGGCCTCACAGCAAGAAGGTCGCTGGTTTAAACCTCGGCTCAGTTGGCGTTTCTGTGTGGAGTTTGCATGTTCTCCCTGCCTTCGCGTGGGTTTCCTCCGGTTTCCTCCGGGTGCTCCGGTTTCCCCCACAGTCCAAAGACATGTGGTACAGGTGAATTGGGGTTGCTAAATTGTCCGTAGTGTATGAGAGTGTGTGTGTGGATGTTTCCCAGAGATGGGTTGCGGGTGGAAGGGCATCTGCTGCATAAAAACTTGCTGGATAAGTTGGCGGTTCATTCCGCTGTGGTGACCCCGGATTAATAAAGCCGACAAGAAAATGAATGAGTTAGCAAATTAGCTTTCAATTTTCAGCAGACCATATCTAAAAATTTTAATCTTTCAGCATTATTAGTACTATGGAGACCCGGAAGGGATGTGATCGTAAGGGGAAAATTGGGTGGAAGAAAAAAAACTGGGTGGGAGAAAAAAAACTGTTATAGGAAACCATATATATATTTTTAAGTTTTTGCGTTCCCTTGCGCAAAGATTGTGTTATCCTGCAAAGATGTTTTGCGAGGGAATGCAAAGATGTAGGGCAATGATCGACGCACGGCTTTAATAAGCAAGGGAATGCATTTTTATATTAATTTCAATGCTTTATCAGAGGTCGCCTCAGCGGAATAAACCAGCAGTTGCTCAGGCATTTTTTTTTACTGGTGGCATTTGTTTTATTTATGTGATTATATTTAAGGTTATTGTGCTTGGTATGAACTGGTCTATAAAGGACAAAGCCAACTCAGTGTTTATGCATGTGGATTATTTTTGTGCGTATTATGTGAAGTGATTTGTTTCAGTTCTTTTAAATGGAAGTTTCCCAAACAGGAAGTCAACCCATAATTTAAAACGCAGTCATCACATGCAGAAAAAAGTGGATATAATCATGTTTTCAGTGTTTTTGTGTCATTCAAATAAATGTGACTTTTATATTCTGTGCTATTAAATCTTTTTAAATAGTTTGAATGTAATGTTTTTGTCTTTCAGTTATTTTCTGAAGCTCTTGTCTCTCAATCACAGTATTAACTCATGTTGAATGCGGCAGAGATAGCTAAAATTAATTGTTGTTACATTACATTTAGAGTAGCATTCATTTGATTTTCCTGTCAACAATTTTAAGGGAATGAGAGCTGCTCGTTCTGTATAACATAGAAAATAAAGAATATGTAATTTTGTTTCTTTTGGGGCTCAAAAGTGTTTATGCATTAATATTAATGAGACATTACGTCATTACGCTCCCGCGCTCTTCTGACTCATCGGTGATTCAGCGACTTTCGGAAAGCATCAGCTTCAGCACCAACAAGTACAAGAGTGTGTGTGGATGAAAAGCAGATAAAGCTGTGCTTTCACTTTCACTTTTGATCTGAACTAAACCTCGAGCGTCATGATGATGAGCTGCGGTCTTGTGACGGAGAAAAACGAGCCAGGTATGAATTCATTTATTTACTGTTACTGTTACATTGAAATAATTATTGTGTTGTACATCTTTATTTTTTACACATGATGTGTGAAAATATTTTTAGACTGAAAGGATGGTCGCGGTATTTATCAAAATGTACGTGTTTGAAAAGTCGTTTTTAACGGTCAACTAAGAAAACGCGGTTGTTGCTAAAAGGGATACAGCTGCGACCGAAAATTAATTACATTGCTTATTAAATTACGCATTAATTGTATTTTTGTTAACGTTTAGCCTGCACCCAGCCCATACCTCATATTGATGTAAAACAGTTATTATAACGAGGGATATTTTTATTATTTATTTAATTATCAATTAAATTGTATTTTAACGTGTTAGCAATCCTAATCCAATCCCTAACCGTAACGTTAATATAAAAATATGAATCATTGTAACTTACTGTACATCACCAAAATCATACAATATTGACGTATCCGGCGCCGCTGTATCCTTTTAGACTTTACCAGACAAACCTCATTTTTTTAGTTAATAATGTTGACAGTATTTGATATGTTATTTTGCTGTATTTGTGATGTTATTCTCCAGTGTTTGTGAATATGATGTCGTTTTGCTTTATTTGTAATGCTGTTTTCTGTGTTTGTTGTTAGTTATTTAGCTGAATTTATGATGTTATTCAGCTGTATTTATGATGTTATTCAGCTGTATTTGTGATGTTTTGCAGTATTTGTGGTTATTAAGCTGTATTTATGATGTTATTCAGCTGTATGTGTGATGTTTTGCAGTATTTGAGATGTTGTGCTGTATTTGTGTCAGTTCCTCTGAAGAGCATCTCAGTGGAGGTTCGGGTTCAGGACCATGTCGCCTCAGTCTCCTCCACTCTGCAGTATGTGAATGAGGAGCAGCGCCCCCTGGAGGCCTTGTTCGTCTTTCCTCTGCCTGCTGATGCTGCTGTCTGCCACTTTAGTGCCAAGATCGGAGAGCAGGAGATTGTGGCAGAGCTTCAAGACAAAGAGACAGTGAGTCCAGATATTAACTTGTAGGTTGGTGCTTTACATATATTTGTACTGTTTGGCTCAAACTAAACTGTGTGTTTCAGGCGAGGGATCAGTATGATGATGCTGTGAGTTCAGGACAGCAGGCATTTATGTTGGAAGAGAGCGCAGAGAGTCCTGATGTGTTCAAACTGAGTGTCGGGTGTCTGTTGCCGGGTCAGAACGCTGCCGTCACCATCATCTACATTACTGAGCTCGCTGTGCAGGCCGACCAATCACTGCGCTTCTGTCTGCCAGCTGTTCTCAACCCCAGATACACACCAGCAGGTACTACAGCAGCAGTGGACACACTCTTTATTAGCAGAGAGAAGTGTTTCTAACGAAGTGTGTGTGTGTGTGTGTGTGTCAGGTTCAGATGCTGGTATAGTGTCAGAGATTTCATCAGTATGTGGAGCAGTTCCCTACTCTCTGACTCTCAGTGTCCACGTGAGCTCTCCAAAGCCCATCTCCAAACTAGAGTCCAACTGCACTCTGGATCCTCTCGTGTTCCTCCGCTCTGATCACACTCAGGCTACGGTACTGTGTAGGGCTGTACAGTATATCACTTCACCATCAAGATCACAGTGTGCACATTTGCAATTTCCAGAACCATGTCTTTAACTGTTCCTTGCTGGTGTAAAGATCTCCCCGATCCTATACGGACTGCAGATCCTGGTATTGTTTATTTTTCTGTGAGCACTTAAAATAAATAAACTCTAGCTTTATTTAATTTCATTTTTATTCATGTTTCTGGGGCCAGGTCGCAGGGGCAGCAGTCTTAAGAGAGAACTCTAGACTTTCCTCTCCCCAGACACTTCCTCCAGCTCCTCCGGGGGATCCTGAGGTGTTCCTAGGCCAGCCGAGAGACATAGTCCCTCCAGTGTGTCCTGGGTCTTCCCCGAGGCCTCCTCTCGGTGAGACATACCTGGAACACCTCCCTAGGTAGGCGTCCAGGAGCTATCTGAAACAGATGCCCGAGCCACCTCAGCTGACTTCCCTCGATGTGGAGGAGCAGCGGCTCTACTCTGAGCTCCTCCCGGGTGACAAAGCTCCTCACCCTGTCTATAAGGGTGCGCCCTGCCACCCTTTCAAGGAAACTCATTTTGGCCACTTGTATCCGAGATCTTGTCCTTTTGGTCATGACCCAATGCTCATGACCGTAGGTGAGAGAAGGAACGTAGATTGACCGGTAAATCGAGAGCTTTGCCTTTCGGCTCAGCTCCTTCTTTACTACAACGGACCGGTACATCGACCGCATTACTGCTGCCGCTGCACCAATCCACCTGTCAATCTCACGTTTCATCCTTTCCTCACTCGTGACCAAAACCCCAAGATACTTGAACTCCCCTACCTGGAGGAAGGCCTTTCCTACAACCTGGAGATGGCAAACTACCCTTTTCCAGTGAAGCACCATGGCCTCTAACTTGTATGAGTAGCACTTGAAGGGAGTATATTATAGTCTTTATAACGAATCACATAATCCCTTCTTCATTTAAAGCCTCTTTAATAGAAGTGTTTGCTAAACATCTAAAGGTAAATAGTCTCATTTGAGGATGTCCAATATCAAATAGGGGTCATAGTTGACACATTTACACATGTTAAAGTGTAGTGCCAATAATGTCATGTAATGTGTGTATTATATAGTGCATTTATCTTGTATGGACACCCAAAGTGCTTCACAATCATGAGATGGGTCTCTCCACACAACCCTGGCAGCATCGATTTGAATGATGCGACAGCAGCCACAGGACAACGGCGCCAGTGCGCTCACCACACACCAGCTATAGGTGGAGAGGAGAGACGGTGATAGAGCCAATTTAGTGGATGGGGATGATTGGGAGGCTGTGATGGGTAAGGGCCAATGGAGGGAATTTGGCCAGGACTCGGGGGTTACACCCCTACTCTTTACAACAGGGGTGTCCAAACTGTCCTACATAGTTTAGCTCCAACTTCCTGCAACACACCTGCCTGGAAGCCTAGTATACCTAGAAAGAGCTCGATCAACTGGTTTAGGTGTGTTTAATTGGGGTTGGAACTAAAAAATCAGGACACAAGCCCTCCAGGACTAAGTTTAAACACCACTGCTTTACGAGGATTTCTAATAACCACTGAGAGTCAGGATCTCGGTTAAACGTCTCATCTGAATGTTGTGTGATAAAGTTTGTAGCTTTAAAATGACCTCTATTTGATAAATACAGTGTAGACAGTGCAGTTACTTTAGATTTGATCATTCAGTTTCTGTACTCGAGTACTGTTAGACTCCACAGAAAAACTAAAACTCTGATTTTTTATTTAATCCTTCATTTTCTTTTCGGCGTAGTCCCTTTATTAATCTGAGGTCGCCACAGCGGATAGAACCGCTAACTTATCCAGCATATGTTTTTACGCAGCGGATGCCCTTCCAGCTGCAACCCATTTCTGGGAAACATCCATACACACTCATACACTACGGACAATTTAGCTTACCTAATTCACCTGTACCACATGCCTTTGGACTGTGGGGAAACCGGAGCACCCGGAGGAGCTCCCTGAAGGCAGGGAGAACATGCAAACTCCACACAGAAACGCCAACTGACCCAGCCGAGGCTCGAACCAGCGACCGTTGTATTTTGTTTTGTTGTTATATTTGTCTATACTTATCTATAGTTTGTTTGTTATATTTAATGCATATACCCGGCTTTTTAAAAATCTCGATTTACTTCTCTATTCACGTTATCTGACGCTTTTATTTTCATGTTGCACAAGTGTCTTGATGTGTTTATGTGGATGTGTGAACAGTGCAGGTTTATCCTTGTGTCTTTATTATGTGTGTAGGTGAATCTGAGTCCCGGTCACATGTTTGATAGAGATGTTGAGCTGTTCCTGTACTATCAGGACACCCATCAGCCCTCTGCTGTAGTGGAGGCAGGAGTGGCCACTGCACCGTCAGGTAAGAGCTGCACAGAAATCTGGAATTATGGGGTTTTGTGATCAAATTTTCGCTCTCTTCCTGTTGATTCAGGCTCTCTAATGAAGGATCCAGTTGTCATGATAAGTTTGTACCCAGAGTTCCCAGAGGAAATGATGTCATCACTGAAAAATCAAGGCGAGTTTGTTTTTGTGATGGACAGATCAGGCAGTATGGACTGCATGATGCATCGTGGAATAGGAGCACAGAAATGTATTGAAAGTGCAAAGGTGAGATTTAAAGATTAGTATTCCCTTTTGTTTCTGTTGGCGTTCATTTAGACAGAGACACTGAAATTTCTGTTCACGTCTCTCTGCAGGACACTCTGCTCTTACTGTTGAAGAGTCTGCCCATGGGATGCTACTTCAACATCTATGGATTTGGCTCTCGTTTTGAGTCTTTCTTCACGTCAGTATCTAGATCTTTATAGTATCCATATCTGCATTGTTCTATGTGTGTTTTGTTTTTGTTGTCAAAACCCCCTGAACTTTTGCATTTAGCTCCTCCTTCATGTACCGTGTCAATATCTTTTATAGATATTCAGATTTTCTCTTTTGAAAAGTGTCAGCGATGCCGAGGAGATCTTTCTGTCTTTGCAGTAAAAGTGTCGAGTACAACCAGGACAAAATGGATCAGGCTCTTAAAAAAGTAAAGGAAATGCGAGCAGACATGGGCGGCACAGAGATTTTACAGCCTCTAGCACACATCTACAGTCAGCCCTGCATCCCTGAACACCCCAGACAGGTTCAGCACCTCAACTACTCATTGATATTGGTGTAAAAGTATAAACATGACTTGTGAATCTGATGTTTTTCTGTCTTCAGCTGTTCATCTTCACTGATGGAGAAGTAGAAAACACTAAAGAGGTGCTGGATCTGGTGAAAAGTCATGCTCACTCTCACAGGTAAAGTTCTGCTGGGTTTGATCATTCAGATCTTCATGGCTAACAGTAACAGTGTTTCTTGTGTCTCCAGGTGTTTCTCATTCGGGATTGGTGAAGGTGCGAGTACCGCCCTCATCACAGGATTGGCCAGAGAAGGATCAGGTCATGCTCAGTTCATCACAGGCAGCGAGCGCATGCAGCCCAAAGTAAAGCTCTCCACTGGACTTCACAGACACTGATGATTCCTAGTCACATGACTCAATGTCTCTTTCTCGTCCAACTGTATCAGGTGATGGAGTCCCTCAGGTTTGCTCTTCACCCCGCTGTGTCGAATATCTCTGTGGATTGGACACTTCCAGAGCGTGTTACTGCTGAAACAGTTTCTCCACCCATTGATGTGCTCTTCCAGGGTCAAAGGACTCTCATTTATGCCCAACTTAAAGGAAAGGTGAGAGGATTTAATGTGTTTCTTTTAAGTAAACTAGTGACTCTTAGAACTTAGCTAATTCTTCTCTAACAGAGTTCAGGCGGCTCTGAGGGATCAGTGACAGTCAAATACAGTCTTAAAGATCAACAAGTGACAAACCAGCTGCACTTCTGCATCAAACCAACTGAGGAAACAGGGTAAAACACACAAACACACATGTAAACACTAACAACAAAAGTCAATTTCTCATCTCCCTAACCAAGTACTTTGTGAATTAATTCAAGTAACTCAATTTATTTGGTTTATTTAAAGATAAAATAGACAAACACTTTCTTTTACTTCAGTAGCAGAATTAACCAACAACTCATCCAGCATATTTACACAGCGGATGTCCTTCCAGCTGCAACCCAGTGCTGAGAAACACCCATACACTCTCACGTTCACACTTCACCTATAGCGCATGTGTTTGGAAACCGGAGCACCCGGCGGAAACCCACGCCAACACTTGGAGAACATGCAAACTCCACACAAAAATGCCAACTGACCCAGCCAAGATGCTAACTAGCGACTTTCTTGCTGTGAGGCGAGAGCACTACCCACTGTGCCACCGTGCCGCCCCTACTGTTAATCGGATTTTATTCTTTTTTTTTTTGTAGCAGATGACATATTTGAGCTAGGCATAGTAACATTCTAAGTGTTTTATAGTTTTTCCCACTTTTTCCGCAGGTTGGTCATCCATCAGCTGGCGGCTCGAACCCTGATCCATTCTCTGGAGCAGAAAGAGAGGTCATGTGATGGAGATTTTGAAGGTATCAGGAACAGTATAGTGGAGCTCAGTGTTCAGGCAGGAGTGAGCAGTGTTCATACAGCCTTCATTGGCATTAATAAAGACACCAAACAGACTGTGAAAGGACCCCTGCAGCAGAGAAGAGTGCCGACATGCGGTTAGTGCTCTGCTTGTGTTTGCATGAATGACATTTTACTGATATGTTTATTTTTGATAGATTTTTAGTTTTTAACTGCGACAGAGTTCTTTCTGGTTTTTAAAAGCGGACAGCGCTCTAGGTTAGTTTTTAACAGCAGACGATGCTCTAGGCTAACAGCAGACAGCTCTCTAGACTAGTTTTTAACAGCAGACAGTGCTTTAGTCTAGTTTTTAATAGCAGACAGTGCTTTAGGCTAGTTTTTAACAGCAGACAGTGCTTTAGGCTAGTTTTTAACAGCAGACGGCGCTCTAGGCTAGTTTTTAACAGCAGACAGTGCTCTAGACTAGTTTTTAGCAACAGACGGTACTCTAGGCTAATAACAGATGGCGCTCTAGGCTAGTTTTGAACAGCAGATGATGCTCTAGACTAGTTTTTAAAAGCAGATGGTGCTTTAGACCAGGGGTTCCCAAACTTTTCAGCACGCCACCCCTAAAATAACAATACCAGTGACTCGCGACCCCCAATATCCTCTGAGGTGGTTATAAATACAGAAAACTTGCATGCAATGGCGCACACACACACACACCAATAGACCAAACTCTATTCTTCGTTTAATTTTTTTTTTTGTATGTGAGTGCTGTAAATGGGCCAGAAAGTTTAACCTGGTGTTATAAAATCAATCTGCTGCATCTGACGCTATTGTCTTTAATATAATGTAATTACCCCAGGGGTCGCAATCCAATAGAACTAGTAAATAAGCTACTATAGTAACTATAAACGACTGTATTTTTCTCTTCAGTTGGTTATGGATAAAATATGGTAAGTCTTATGGCCTAATAATAATAAGTAGATTTTTGGAAATCACCAGGCGACCCCCCTTCATTGTTCTGCGACCCCTCAAGGGGTCCCGACCCCCACTTTGAGAACCACTGCTTTAGACTAGTTTTTAACAACAGACAGCACTCTAGGCTAACAGCAAATAATGCTTTAGGCTAGTTTTTAACATCAGACAGCACTCTAAGCTAGTTTTTAACTGCAGACAACACTGTAGGCTAGTTTTTAACTGCACACAGTGTTCTAGGCTAGTTTTTAACAAAAGACGGCACTCTAGGCTAGTTTTTAACAGCAGACAGTGCTCTAAGCAAGTTTTTAACAGCAGACTGCACTCTAGACTAGTTTTTAAAAGCAGATGGCGCTACTGGACTAGTTTTTAACAATAGACAGCTCTCTTGGCTAGTTTTTAACAGCAGACAGCGCTCTAGACTATTTTTTAGCAAAAGACGGCACTCTAAGCTAACAGCTGATGATGCTCTAGGCTAGTTCTTAACAGCAGACAGCGCTTTAGGCTAGTTTTTAACAACAGACCGCACTCTAGGCTAGTTTTTAACAGCAGACAGCGCTTTAGGCTAGTTTTTAACAGCAGACGGCGCTCTAGGCTAGTTTTTAACAGCAGACAGCGCTTTAGGCTAGTTTTTAACAGCAGACGGTGCTCTAGGCTAGTTTTTTTCAACAGCAGACAGCGCTCTAGACTAGTTTTTAGCAACAGACAATACTCTAGACTAACAGCAGACGGCGTTCTAGACTAGTTTTTAACAAAAGACGGCACTCTAGGCTAACAACTGATGATGCTCTAGGCTAGTTTTTAACAGCAGACAGCGCTTAAGGCTAGTTTTTAACAACAGACAGCACTCTAGGCTAGTTTTTAACAGCAGACAACACTCTAGGCTAGTTTTTAACAGCAGACAACACTCTAGGCTAGTTTTTAACAGCAGACAACACTCTAGGCTAGTTTTTAACAGCAGACGGCGCTCTAGGCTAGTTTTTAACAGCAGACGGCGCTCTAGGCTAGTTTTTAACAGCAGACAGCGCTCTAGACTAGTTTTTAGCAACAGACAATACTTTAGGCTAACAGCAGACGGCGTTCTAGACTAGTTTTTAACAAAAGACGGCACTCTAGGCTAACAACTGATGATGCTCTAGGCTAGTTTTTAACAGCAGATAGTGCTTTAGGCTAGTTTTTAACAGCAGACAGTGCTCTAGGCTAGTTTTTAACAGCAGACAGCGCTTTAGGCTAGTTTTTAACAGCAGACGGCGCTCTAGGCTAGTTTTTAACAGCAGACAGCGCTTTAGGCTAGTTTTTAACAGCAGACAACACTCTAGGCTAGTTTTTAACAGCAGACAACACTCTAGGCTAGTTTTTAACAGCAGACGGCGCTCTAGGCTAGTTTTTAACAGCAGACGGCGCTCTAGGCTAGTTTTTAACAGCAGACAGCGCTCTAGACTAGTTTTTAGCAACAGACAATACTTTAGGCTAACAGCAGACGGCGTTCTAGACTAGTTTTTAACAAAAGACGGCACTCTAGGCTAACAACTGATGATGCTCTAGGCTAGTTTTTAACAGCAGATAGTGCTTTAGGCTAGGTTTTAACAGCAGACAGTGCTCTAGGCTAGTTTTTAACAGCAGACAGCGCTCTAGACTAGTTTTTAACAGCAGATGGCGCTCCTCAACCTTTCCTAATTGATTTAATGATTATTTTGGGTTCAATTGGTATGAAGAATTGTAGGCAAGCAGAGTGTGGCTGTTTGTAAAACATATAGCACCATCTACTGTCAACAACTAAACTCAGAATTGATTTAGAAGAGAATTGCGATGCATTCAGAAAAATCGGTATCAGTTCTTGATTTGCAGTGCATGGTTTTAACTTTCCAAACCTACTTATGATGTGTTCATATAATTCAGAGGTGAAATTAAATCTTTTTCAGGTTTGCAAGTATCAAGTGTGCAGATACAAGGTAAAAAAAACAATGGGTCTTGTTATTTGTTATCTGTTATTATAGCATAAGCAGATCAACACAGCTAGACATTTGCCATTAACCAGAATATAACCTATAAACCTTTGTCAGTGTATTTGTGTGAATGTGAGCTTGCCTAATGTGAATATGAACAGCTTTTTCTGTTATTCCACTGTATGACGCCAACCAGATTTCACCAAGTAGGACATGTTCCTGGATTAACATCAATGTTGATCCTGGAGCAACATTCCAATCAGCCAATCAGAATTAAGGGATACGTGTACCATTTATGTTAAGTTTAGGCCTACGGTTAGGTTTATGCACTTCTACATGATTGTTATTCAACTATTATTCCCCTATGATTATGGGAATAGTTTACAGTTTTGGTTGGGTTTAGGGGTAGGGAATAAGTATGGATTAAATTTTCCAACAGGAATAATGTTCCAGGTTTAACATAAATGCTAATCCAGGATGGCATCGTACTTGGCAAAATGATGACGTGCAAGATGTTTACATTCAAAGTGTTCACTTCATAAACTACAAATGTTTTTCAGATTTGATTGAGGGAGGTTACATGGTGGCTCCAGAATGTAGTAAGACAAACAGTTGAATCTAAGTGCTCTGTGTAATTTGCATTATTCTTGCATCTCTTTAATGCAATCTTCTTGCTCAAATACTTAATTTTGCATTTGCTGTGATAATTGACCCTTCACTAAGCCCCGCCCTCCTTAGTTACTGTTGCTACGCCTGTCAAGCTTTTTCACCTGGCACAGCTTTTACAATGTGTATGCGCCGGTGTCAGACATTTACTGGGATATAATTAGTCATTTTTGGCGAACAGGTGAGATATCTGAGAAAGCCAGACAAAAAACCCTGCTGAAAAATCCAGCTTAAACCAGCCTAGGCTGGTTGGCTGGTTTCAGCTGGTTGACCAGGCTGGTTTTAGAGGGGTTTTGGCCATTTCCAGGCTGGTTTCCAGCCATTTCCAGCCTGGTCTTAGCTGGTCAGGCTGGAAAATGACCAGCCAAATCCAGCTAAAACCAGCTTGACCAGCCTGGTTTAAGCTGGATATAGCTGGTTTTGGCTGGACTCCCACTTGGCTAGGCTGGTCAAGCTGGTTGTAGCTGGTCATCTTCCAGCCTAACCAGCTAAAACCAGGCTGGAAATGGCTGGAAACCAGCCTGGAAGTGGCCAAAACCCCTCTAAAACCAGTCTGGTCGACCAGCTAAAACCAGCCAACCAGCCAACCAGCCTAGGCTGGTTTAAGCTGGATTTTTCAGCAGGGAAGGACTGCAGTATGAATTACAGGGGTATATTCACGACATAATATGCAACCGATTAGAGAATAATTCAATCAAGATTGAAGCTAGCTTAGCCTAGCCGCTAACCATACAACAGCTTAGCTCATGCTCAGCAGGAGAGGTGAAATATAAAAATAATCTAATAATAACAAAATAAACCATTATTTCTCTATTTTTAGCCAAAAAGCCTGATAGATTAAATGTTGTGCAATGACATATAGCGTTACCAACCGACAAGGAAACACGCATGGACAGGGCTTTTACATTCATTCATAGAAAGAACAGCCAAAAAGGGGAAACTAATGGATTTGTGCTAAATATTAGCATCATTGACCCATAACAATGTACAGTAAGTTACCTATAACTGTCAGTATGTTTGTATCCTCTTTATAATGAATAAAAAACAGCTGCTGGTAAAGTATATTGATCCCAAGTGCTCGGTGTGTGATTATATCTGTGTTTTGTTCTGTTGATTTGTAATTTCAAATCTTCATAGCTTGAAATAGATGGAAATATGAAGTTCAGTAAGCAACAGATTAGCAGATTTGTATTTTCCGGGGTCACTAACTCATGTCATTATGACCTATTCGCTATTAGTATGACTAAGTTACTATGGCAGAAGCTTAAACAGAGCATTGCTCATAATATCAAGTGAAAAAAAAAGAAAAAGACAGCTGGTAAACAGACATAACCTGCTTTGTATTTTTGTAGGAAACACAGTTTAGATCTGTTCAGGGTAAGAGGTGTGTGAGTGATTGCTGTCGTCTATCACTGAATGTGTCAGGAATATCAAAACAAAACCAACTTAACTCCGCTCCCTTAGCGCCTCTCACAGAGCTTGCATTTCTCCTCTTGGGTTTTTGGTTTTGAAAAGGGAAAAAATTCCACCACCCTGTCCAAACTTTTAGGATAGCGGGTGTCAGATTTGCACAGTCCATATGCACAACGCTTTGGCCTGTTTCCCTCGCTCGAAAGCGAAACAGAGCTCCTGCGCGTAGCTACGGTTGCTAAGCCACGATTGGTGGGTGGCGGTTTTTGGGTGTGGCTTAGCGAAGAGTCAATTGTGGTGAATTACCAGAGATAAACTGATAGAACAAGTCATAATTTAGACTTTATAAACAAATAATATTAGAAAATACAATATAATTTTGTGTGTAATATTTTTTTCTGCTTTTGTTTTGGAAGTACAAGAAATGTCATATCACCTCGCTCCCAGATCTCAGAACTGGTTTGAACGTCTGATTTTCAGACACCATAAACGTGAGTCAGCTAGATGGAGAATTCATTACATTTAACACTGAATGCCTAAAAATTATTTTAAAACACATTTTAGAGATCGTGAAGGAAAAGCAAGCCTAGAAGCCATATAAATGAGCTGCCTGTTGCTGTAGTAATCTTTGTTTTATAAAGAGTATTTCTCTTTTTTTTTCAGCTACTGCACCTGAGCAGAAGATTGGATTTATGACAAGTAACACAATGAATACACAGCGTCACTTAATGTGGAGCACAAATACAGTGTTGCCTCTCGAGTAATGATTATAATTGTTCTTTGCAGAAGTTCAGAATTTCTTCAGTCGTGATGTTAAGACTGCAACTGTCCAATGTGGAGAGACAAACTCTCAAAGCCAGAATTACGGTACACGCACACATACACCTACATAAACTGTACACCAGGGGTGCTCAGTCCTGTTCCTGGAGATCTACCTTCCTGTAGATTTCAGTTGCTGCCCATATCAAACACACCTGCCTGTAATTATCATGTGGTGTCAGGTCCTAATTAATTGGTTCAGGTGAGTTTGATATGGGTAGCAACTGAAATCTGCAGAAAGGTGGCTCTCCAGGAACAGGATTGAGCACCCCTACTGTACACAAATACATCTGTTTGGTTATCATGTTTTATGGGCTCTTCCCATTTTTATACTGTACAGACTTTTTTGTGACCGTTTCACCCAACTCTACCCCTAAACTCAACCCTTACAGGAAACATTCTGAAGTTTAGGCACCGGTGTCCTCCTTGGTGACGAGTGTTATTGTAGAATGCTTTCTGTTTAAGTGCTTGAACAACTAGCTTGTCGAGTTAAAAGCAGTCAAAAGTACTTTAGAGACTGCACTTAGACTTAATTTCACAGCAAAGTAAAGCGATGTCTGTATTTCCACTTGAAGAAGCAAGCACTCTCGTCACCAACCATTGTTAATTTGCTGGCGTTCTCCAGCAATTTAAAGGGCCATGAAACCCCCTCGTTTCAGCAGGGTGTTTTCACACCTCTACTTTGGAAAAAGTCAGAAAAGTGGGCGTGTCCAGCTCTGTTTAGGGGGGAGTGTCGGAGGAACTAAAGTGGGAGGGTGTGGGAGTGTCTATTTGGGCACGCGCGAGTTTCAGAGTCAAAATACACACCCACAGGAGAAAGTGATGGTGTTTAACCTACATGGACATCTGTAGTCGAATTATTTGCCAAATTATTAAATGTTGGACTTTAACTGCAGTTTGGCTCTTTCATTCAGGAATTCATTCATGCCCCTCACAACAAACAAGATTTTTGATTCGAGGAGCTGCTCTAAGCGTGTATTTTTCATGCAATGTTTGATACCGCACGGCGAATGAGAGAAAAAAAACCTCTGCATTTCCCGGAAACTTAGATGCACACGGCAGGTAGCGTCAGGAAGCCGCGTGTGTTATTCCGGTCACTAAATGCGGTAAAAACCCTACACGAGGTTAAAGTTTGGTTGTGATGCTAACGTGTTTACACTCGGTGACTCGGTGCAATAGTTAACTTAGTTTGATACGAGCAAACTGAATAAACAAAGAGCAGTGGTCGCTCACTTACCAAATCTGTAGAGACAGGACAATCACCAGTAACTAGAGCCGCGTCATTATGAAGAGGAGACTACAAGCGAATCCAGATCTCAGCGTTTGGAGATGAGAACAGCTCTCAGGTAAACAATAAACCTCCTTAGACACGTAAGTTATTGTTGTCGAGCGTTGCATACACTGTTAATCCACACGTGATGCTAGCTGCGCTCTCACAGAGAGAAAATGAAAACAAAACTTAACTGCAGCAAACTATAAAAGCAACACTTCACGCTTGTTTTGCCAACACAACGTGGCGTCTCTGTCATGAAAACACTGTGACACTAATGAATATTAATGAAGTTGCACAATAGAGCGCGCTGATTGGTTTGAACTAAGCCTTACTCACGCATTAATGCATCACACTGTAAGACGTAATAAGACACACTCTGGCACAGACGTCCAGTCTGCACGCTGGAATACTCGCTATTATGTCATGACCGTGACGCAGCTTCAAAAATTCGTTTCAAACCGGAAGTACGAATTTGCTTGAAATAACGCAAAAACAACCAATTTACACTTTTTAATGAAATATAGGTGTCCTAATAGTGTTTTTAGCAGTGTGGGACACATATATGACTGTCAACAGCTCAAATAATGTGTTTTGGTGTTTCGTGACCCTTTAAAGGCGCGTGCTTATTAACGGTCTTTGCAGCAGAAAACGTGTTTTAAAAAAACTCTTTTTCTTCTAAAAACTATACTTGTAATGCAAGTAAGGCACTCAGATTGACTTTAGTAACTGTGATCAAATGCCACAAATTTAAAATGTAATTCGAAGTTTTGTTACAACCCAGATAGCATACGAATGTGGGCCACTTCAGGCAGTTATGCGGCACTGTGGTATTCCTCTGACCCAGACAAAATGAATTCATTGAAATGAATACTACAGTGCCGCATAACTGCCTAAAGTGGCCCACATGCTATCTGGGTTGTAACAACACTTGTTCTCACTTCGGTTGCACCACTTGTTTTTGGGCAAACCGAAGTAAGTAGCTCATAAGCTCTCCGTAAAGTCACAAATAGTCGCATTGAATGACGTAATATCCAATAAAAAGCATTTAAATAGTTAAACTGCTTTAAAATCCCGCAACTAATGCATCTACATAAAACTGTTCTATGATAATGAAATGGCAAATGATAGTTTTATAGTACATTACATTACAGTCAGTCAGTAGGCTTTAATAGATGACGCATATACCTATACACATGAAATTATCAAAACATTAAACTTGATTTTGATCTTGATATAGACCTTTTTCATGGCTGCTGCATGGAGGGCGCCATAGCGACCAGCGTCTTCCGGTAGAATGCTAAAAACTTCCGTTTACAGCGTTTACAACTGGTAATTTGCGCCAAGGAGCTTAGAATGACCAAGAGGCGACACTCTGGTGTAATTTGGAAAACAGCCACTAGAGGGCGCGGCGGCCATTTTGGAATGAAAACTCCAATAGAACAACAGCATATTATAAGTCTGTAAAATAAACTATTAAAAGTGCTGATGTTCGTGATAATAAGTGTTGTATTGGCGTCTTTCAGGTTGTATCTCAACTTTAATGCGCTTTTTGAATAAATAAATAAAAAACAAAGCAGCTGCTTGCCATCGCGTAAGTAATGAGATCCAATGGACGGCCGATCACTTTCACTTCAAAATGGCGGAATCTGGGGCTGTTGCTGGGCGCTGCTGTTGCAACGGAACGTTCTATTGAGTGTCGCCTCTTGGTCATTCTAAGCTCTTTGTTTGCACTCCGAAAATGGGTTTCAATAGCGTTTTTAATATATTACAGAGTGTTTTTGTGACACACAACTTAGAAATGTGTCTGTTAAAGCCGTTTTAATCTGTCAGATGTGGTTCAAGCCTGTTAGTAATACGAGAAAAACGTTCTCCTAGTTCACGTGTCTGCCGTCAGAAATACAGTGTGTGTGTGTGTTCCCGGCCTGTCAGCTGTTAGCTCAGCAGCTCTTCAATACACACACACACACACACACACACACACACACACACACACACATGCAATACTTTGCTGCATTATAGAGCAAACCGGATTATTAGCATGAAACTTAACAGATATGTAAGTCATGCAATTTACAAAAATGACCAATAAAAGTCTGTCTGGCTGATTTGCTGTTCATTCTAATCGCGAGCTGTTTATGTTTCATTTCATGTGTTGTTTTACCACGGTTTGTGTTTTTCTGTCATTTCGAAATGACACTAGCCTATATTTTCACGTTGTCACAGTTATTAAATCAGTGTGTCAGTGGCACAGTACAGGCTACGTGTGTGTGTCAAACATTTTGGTGAACTACATTTGTTTGGTCTGGTTATATATTTGAAATAAAGAGAAAATGTTGACTTTAGCGATGACGAGGCTTCATTTAAACTGCAGAAGATGCCGTCTGACAACGAGGGAAAAACGCCACACAGCAGCTGTTTTCCATCCTATTAGATCGCATTTTTAAATGATCAGTCCAGGAGATGGTGCTGATGGACAACAGTATTAGTTCAAAGAGGATAAAAGCTGGTAAAATAAATTAAAACTATCGTTTCAAAGCTGTCCAAATATGACTGTTTACATGCATCAGCTGCCGACCGGAAGTTCTTAGCATTCTCCTTGCGCATACACGCAAAGCATAATAGGTAATTTTGCGTTCCAAGAAAAAGGTCTATATTCTACACATAAAAGAAAAAAAAAACAGGGAAGAACTCAATCGTGAAAAAATTCTCCTTTTTAACTGGTGGATATGTAACCCCGCCGGTCCTACTGAGGTTTACCTGCACAGCACCTACTAGCTGGCCTCCGTTACACTCACCCCCCCTAAACTTCACTCACATCCGGGTCACGGCACCAATGTAACCCCACCGGTCCAACACCACCAAACCCGCTCCGAGCTGGTATCGAACCGGCGACCTTCCGTATAGGAGTCGTTTGCTCTAACAAGGAGGCTAAAGACCATAGCCTCAAGTGGCTGTCGCTAGAGCACGCTAGAGGTCAGAGGAGTGAGGTTTACCTGCACAGCACCTACTAGCTGGCCTCCGTTACAGATACAATAAATACAAAACGCTGAAGTAAAATTAAATTCACAATCCGAAAAATGTTAAGATTTGGGAGGAAAATAAGACTGTCAGTAGAAGGAGATCATTCTTCATTATTATCGTGAGCTCTTCAATATAAACGAATCTCGCCTTCATCTATTTTCTACCATTATACAAGAGGGGAGGCTGCCATAAATATTTAGTTGGAACGTGGCATTATGTTTAAATTCAGTGGTGCAACACAAAAATATTCAGTATTGTGTAAGTTGTAATGTAGTGTCCCTTTAAGTCACAACTAGGCTACATTTTAACTTACACACATTTGGTCCCCACAATGTTACAAATACAAGGCACATCCACTCACACACACAGCATGAGATGGCCACAATGGTAATATGTCAAAACTACTGGATAATTCAAGTGAGAAAAAGCTTGTAATAAAAAAAAGTACGCATCCAATGTGCACAGGGTTAGAAACTGCATCATTCTTGTGCATCATAAACACATTTTACACTCCGCATCTATCTATTTTAGTGGGTGAAATGCCTGTGCTATCAAGTCCTGATCCAGCTGCTCCTGAGCTTCAGCAGGACCTGTTACTCCCGCTGGTTTCCCTCCAGAAGACCTCGGGCTGCTGGGAACTGGACGCTGCATTGGCTGCTGTCTTTGGGAAGACGAAGGATGAGTTGACCAATCAGAAACCAGCACAGGTGAGACATGTGACAAAACAACTGTAATGCAGTGCTGGTGGTGTCCAGCTTCAGATGATGGTTTGTGCACAGGTGGATGGGTCAGTGTGGGCCACTCTCCTGGCTCTGATCTGGTTGTACGGCTGGAGAAAAGGGCAGCAGGTGGAGTGGCAGTTTGTGGCCCAGAAGGCAGCGGCATGGATCGCCTCTCAGAAAGGTCAGATCTCTATTCTAGAGCACATTCATTCAGAGATGATGAAGAGAATCATGTTAAAATAACGTGTGTGTGTGTTTCAGTGGGCGATCTGTCTCAGTGTGTGTGTCTGGGTAATGTCCTTTTTGGATGTGAGGTCACCAAAGACACTCTGGGGATCTGAAGACATCACTGTTTCTGCATACGGTGCCATATGAATGCCAAATATACACATATTCTACTAATATATATATATATATATATATATATATATATATATATATATATATATATATATATATATATACAGTTCTTAGCATAATTGAGTACACCCCATTTTAAAAAATGAATATTTCTATATATTCTCTATGAATATAAGCTATGTATTTTAGTGCATTTGAATAAAATAGATTTATAAAAAAATATATATATATATTAGAATATATATATATATAATATATATATTAGAAATTGAAAGATAACACAATTAAATTCAAGAAAAAATATTACAAAAAAAACCTATAAAATTAAATTTTTCGCTTCTCTTGATTTTTTCCTCCTTTTTAAATTTGTATTTAATATTTTTCTATGACACATACATTTGGCTGTACTAGTTCTTGGACCGTTATTTTTAGTTATTTTGTTAGATCCCTAATCTAATGTTTATGCTCAAATCTAATAGTGTATAGCTTCCTAATAAAAATCTTAATTTAAAAGAGAGATTTGTGAGGGGTGTGCTTATAAATGCTGAGCGCTGTATATATAGTTTGTAAATGCTATTAACAAGCGTGCCCTACAGCTTTCCTTAATTTTTTCTAACCCCCAACTGTAAAACTAATATTTGGGTCAAAGCCAAAGAGTTTGCTAATGAAAATGTATATGAAGCAATTACATTAATTACTTTATAAATCACCATATGTAAATCTGTATATGTGTACATCCCATCTGTCTGTGTCTGTTTGTCTGTCTGTGTTTGTCTGTCTATCTGTCTGTCTGTCTGTCTGTCTGTCTTATGTTCAAAACATTTATAGGCAATTAATTAATAAATTGATAAATGTCTGTCTGTCTTTCTGTCTGTCTAACTTTATTAAAACTTTTGGAAAATTATTTCTAAGCTTGTCTTTATTATTTACTAGTCCAACCCTCTAAGAGTGTTTTTATTTTATTTTATATTATTTATATGGCAACAAAAGACTGTCTTTTAAATACTGTATTAAATAATAATAATAAATCTTGCTATTAAACTTAATTTAGGTTATATTAAAAAATATGTGATATACAAATTTTATTAACTTAATTTGTGCTTTAAAATAATAATAATAACAAATTTAAATTTTTGGGCTCTACCAAAAGGTATGTTGTGCAGAAACGTTTCGACTAACTTCAAGAAGAGGTTCTTTATTGTTTTTTGTGGGTATTTAATCACCATGTTTAACGGGATAGATAGTTCACCCCAAACTGAAAATCTGTTATTATTCACTCATCATTTACTTGTTTTGGAAGTCAATGGTTACCAATATTTTTCAAAATAACGTTTTCTGTATTTTGAAACTCATGAAGCTTTGGAACCACTTGAGTAAATAAATAATGAGTAAATGTTAATTATGGGTAAACTCGCCTTTTAATTATAACATTAGCCCGTCTCTTAGATTATTTTTAAGGGATGTAAACAATAATAACAATGGTCCCTAACGTATTTCCTGTTTTACATTTTTAATTTCCATAGCAATCCAAAATCAAAAAAGGTCCACGTATTGATAAATAATGTTATGAGAGCTGTTTTAACGTTAAGGTTTGGTTGAGTTGGCTTGTAACAGTTATAAAGTAGTTCTACAGCAAGCAGGAAATGTTCATAGGCCAGTGACATCGCCATGTTGAAACCATCGAATCCTCCGCTAGTGGGCAGTAATGCAGAAGCTTACCATGTTTGTTATCAAGCGAAGAAAAAGAACCAAAAAAAAAAAACACGACACTTTTGAACCAGCTTCTTTCGCTTCAGTGACTAAATATATTTTACAGGTATTGCTTTGTTGTTTATTTCATAGGCGTCAAACAAAGAGTGTTAAAATGGCATCAGGAAGCGCGCTGATCTTTGACGAGGAGATGAGCCGTTATAAACTCCTCTGGACAGAGTAAGTCAATCATTTACAAAAGTCTCGTGATAAAATATGAATGATTTAGATATAATATTATGACGATATACTTCACAATGTGCAAAAATACATGGTAAATGAATAAGGTGACTTTTTGTATGATTTTATGTGTATAAAAGTAAAATAAAAACAAACTTTTGATAACGTTATGAACTTTGATATGCATGTTATGTATATTTCCTAACGCAATTGAGTTAAATGGGAATATCTGAAAAGTTTTATAGTGTTTTAGTTTCATATATTTCAATTAAATGTCATTATCAGATTTCATAAGTTTTGTAATGATTGATTTCTGATACTAAAGGTGTAGTTTGTAATTCTCTCTTAGATAATAATTAAATAGAAAGATTGTTGATGTCTGCAGTGTGTATATTCAATGATAAAATCAAAACTGTTTATTTTAAAAATATATATTGTTTTTATTGGTAACTAAAACAAGGACAATAATTTTAACCAGAACCTATTTAATTGTATTACTAAGTAATATTTATTTATAAATACATTTAATTATGTGTTGTTAGTTGTACTGTGTATTACCTACACACCATTTTGAGGGATGTAAACAATAACAATGGTCCTAATTTGTTTCCTGTATTACATTTTTAATTTCCATAGCTTCCAAGAATCCAAAAAGGTCCACATATTGATAAATAATGTTATGACTGCTGTTTTAACGTCAAGAGATGCTTAAATTGCCTCTTGTTACAGTTATGAAATAGTTTGACAGCAAGCAAGAAATGTTCATCGGCCAATAACATCACCACATTGAAATGGTCTATATCAGGGATGTCAAACTCAATTCCTGTAGGGACTCTATCCAACTCTATTAAACTCACCTGATCAAACTAATTGAGTTCTTCAGGCTTGTTTGAAACCTACAGGTAATTGTGTTGGAGCAGGGTTGGAACTAAACTGTGCAAGGCTGCGGCCTTCCAGGAATTGAGTTTGACATCCCTGGTCTATATGTATTATCGTATATATTAACTTATAAATGTTCTTAATTGAATAATACATTCAATTATTATTAGTTTATTTTCACTATTTCTTATGTAATGCCATTTGAGGTTAATACTTTTAAATTAATTATAATTTATAATAATACACATTAATAAAATTAACAATTAACACTAATAGTTCTGAATTTTTGATGTTCTTAACAATAATGTTTGATTAAAAGGAAAAATATTACATTTTCAACCTCTTTCATGCATTATTAATACGGTAAATAGTACTAATAATATGAATAATTTACAATGAATAGTATTAAACTATAATATTCAGTTTTAATAATGTATTAAATGTTGTATAAAAATGTAATATTTTGTATTTATTCAAACATATTACTGTTATTAGTGTTGTTGTTGCTATTCGGTGCTTCAGTGTTAATAATTGCCCTTTCAAGTCAATGATAAAACTGTAAATATTTGACTATATTTGCATAATTTAGTTGCTTTATTGATTTATAGACAGTCAGCAGATATACTTTTGGAATGCCCTGTTATTAATGTAATCAGACATTACGTTATGGCATTGTTTTGTTTTCTTTTATCAGGGGATACTTCAGAGGAAATATTTTTAAATGTGAATCCTTCAAAAAAATGCCTAAAAAGTAAACCTTAATAAACTGTTTTAGATTTTTTTATCTTGTATATTATTTATTGCTTATGATGTCTTTTTATTGTTATATTTATTGTCGTTTTATTGTTTTATATTATATAAAAAAAGCTTTTGCCATGAAACAGCCAGAGACGCTGATATGGCAATAATTTAAAAACTCTCTCTTTCTCTTAGTAAGCAGATATTTGACTACAAATAACATATCAAGTGCTTTGCATATTTTTATTCTGTCAAAATCGTTTTTAATGCATAAAAATAAACACTATGAGCCCTATCATACACCCGGCGCAATGCTGCGCAAGGCGCAACGCAATAGTTGTTTGCTAGTTTCAGCTTTGCGCAAGAGTCGTTTTGACGTTTTGTGCCACGCTGTTTAAATAGCAAATGCATTTGCGTTCAAATGTGCGCGTTCTGATCTAAAAAGGGAGGCGTGTTGAGGCGCATGACTGGCGCATTGCTATTTTGAGAAACTATAATGAATTTTTCAATGGACCAAAACAAAGCCAGCCAGTCTAATGTCCAGTGCAGAGCGCGTTAGTTATAGCTTACACACTGCTTAATACACACAAGATGTAGAGCAATACGCAAATATCTTTAGAGATGAAAAAGAATTAAAATATTAAGGATATAAATATAAAGGATTAAAATATTACAAACATATTATTTTCTAGCCTACATAAATATAAAAACCATACTTTCATGCCTTTTCATCTCGGGGGGCTTTTTAGTTTGTCCGTGACAATTTGCTTTGTATAATGCTATTATTATTAGCAGTATTATTTATTATATGCATATTTATATTTGTTTTATTAAAACAAGCTTAGATTTGTATCAGGATATAACTCCGTTTTTTGAGCACTCTTCGTTATTATTGTTCATTTATTCGTTTGCTGGAAATTAGAACTGAATTTAGAAATAGTTTTGAAGCAAATCTTTGAGCTTAACAAGCAAAAATTAATTATTTATTGGCTAATTGATGTCTGAGCGTACAAGATTTCCCTATCCACGAGAGCGAAAGTGAAATCTCTCGATCATTTATCTCTCATTTTCGCGCTGTAGATGCTGTTTAACTGTTTACTCGCTAGTGAAACGCTCAGTTTTTCCACTTACAAAGTGCGCCATGTAAATAGCGAATGCGCTTATGGCGCGACGCAACTGACTCTTTAAGGAAATGGGAGATGAGACTCTTATTGGTTTATTCTCAAAACACTCATAACTCATGAAGAAAATAGGCTCAGCTCTTTTAGACCATGCGCCACAGCGCAAAGCGGATTTTCCCGTCCTTAAATTAGCAAAAGTGGATTCCAACACGCCCCATTTACATTTGTGCCCTGCGCTTTGCACTTTGCGTATGGATCGTCAACATAGAGCCCTATATTTATGTCCTGTTGCTCTGTTAGTCCAGCATGTGAGATTGAGGTGCCTGAGCGGTTGACCGTGTCCTATGAAGCGCTCAGGACACATGGTTTGGCCCAGAGGT